CCCACTTCTTCCATCGGTAGGAGGTTACAATCACGGACAGCTGGGTATTACAGACCGTTCAATACGGCCTGTCCCTCGAGTTCCTGTCCAGCCCCCCGGGTCATTTCATCACCTGCCCCACATCTCGAGATCCAATCAAACGGGGGCTTATACAGGAGGCCATCTTTTGGAAATACAGGCCATAAAACTGGTACCGCCAGATTGCAGGGGAAGGGGATTCTACTCCATTCTCTTTGTGGTCCCCAAGACCTCGGGGGGATGGAGGGCAATTCTAGATCTCAAGGGTCTGATTTATTACATCGCTTACAAAAATTCAAGATGCAATCACTCCAGTCCATCCTGGGAGGCATCAGACAGGGAGACTTCCTGGCGTCAATAGGCCCCACAGAAGTGTATCTCCACATCCCCATCCTCCGGATCACCGGCAGTTCCTCAGGTTCTGTTACAGGGGCCAGTACTTCCAATACAGGACCCTCCCGTTTGGCCTCTCCTTGGCGCCCAGGGTGTTCACCAAGATCCTGGCTGTACTGGCCGCCCATCTACGGACGGTACCGGTACGCGTCCAGTGCTACCTGGATATCTTGATCCAAGCATCCTGCTTCCGGGCAGCCCAGTCGGACCTGGACCTAACGAGTCAGGTCCTCCAACAGCATGGGTTCTCGGTGAAGTTCTGGAAAAGCCAGACAGTTCGCTCATCCATACTTCTGCACCTGGGAGCCATCATAGACACCACCAATGGTATGGTCTATCTCTCCCAGGAGCGGTTGGACAGCATCAGGGACCTAGCTCGCCGAGTGTACAAGGACCGCAACGTCCCACTGGTCTCGCGCTCTCAGCTACTAGGGAAAATGGTCTCCTACACAGCCATAGTTCTCTGGGCCAGACTCCACTTGCGGGAGCTCCAATGGTTCCTTCTACCGTTCCAGTGGTTGAATGTCAGCACATCCAGCCGGCAGGCGGTTACCAAGGGGGTTAACAGGCGGTTACCAAGGGGTCACCTTTCAAGGAGCCCGACCGCCTCACCATTACAACAGATGCCAGCCTGTTCGGCTGGGGAGCCCACTTAGAGTCTCAGTTTGCACAGGGCCATTGGTCCCGCACAGACTTGAGACACAACATCAACTGGCTGGAACTCAGGGCCATTCACTTAGCTCTTCACCACTTCCACCACCGGATCAGAGGCCGTCACGTATTGGCCCTTACGGACATAGCATCCAAGGCCCATGTGAACCGGCAGGGGGGCACCAGGTCCAGGTCCCTCATGTCTGAGGCCAGATTGCTGGGATCCTGGGCAGAGTCCAACCTGGCATCCATAAGGGCTGAGCACATCTCGGGGAAGAAGAACCGGCAGGCAGACTTTCTGAGTCGCTCTACGATAGATCCCTTGGAATGGGGACTAATCCGGATCTTTTCTCCGAGATATCCCAAAGGTTCAGCCAACCGGCCCTCAACCTGTTCCCATCGTCGAGCAATGCCCAACTCTCCAGGTATTTCTCCCACTATTACTTCCCAGGGGTGGAGGGGACGGATGCCCTGTGGACTCCGTGGCCGGAGGGCCTACTTTACGCCTCCCCCCACCCGCTCATCCCAGTGACCATCTGCAAACTGCTCCAAGAGCAGGTGGAGATGATCCTCATGGCCCCATATTGGTCGCAGAGGCCCTGGTTTGCAGACCTAATGAATCTCTCCCGTTCTACCCCATGGAAGATCCCCCGCATCGCGTGTTCTTACACCAGGGGGTCCTCCAACACCCGGACCCTCAGTGGTTGCAGTTAGCTACCTGGTGCTTGAGCGCAAGATCATGACTCAAGAGTTGTTCTCGCTACAGGCAATCACTATGATTCAGGCCTCTTGTAGGCTGGCGACCAATCGCATTTATGATTCCACCTGGAAAAATTTTTGCCATTGGTGCGGAAGGTGACAACTGGATGTTTACCAACTGACTATTCCTCAGATCGTAGACTACCTTCTCAATGGTCTTGACAGAGGCCTGGCCCCTGCGACCATTCGTAGGCAGGTGACGGCCCTATCAACATTGCTCACTTGCGCGAATTCAGTCCCTCTAGCTCACCATCCTAGGATACACGCCTTCAAGGGTGCTTGCAACACTAGGCCTCCCGTGGTGCACAAGTACCCCTCTTGGGAGCTGCCTCTTGTGCTTCGCGCACTCACAAAACCACCCTTTGAGCCCATTACTACTATACTGTTACAGGCCTTATCTCACAAGATCGCATTCCTGGTCATCATCATGTCAGCCAGACATATTTCTGAGCTGGCTGCTCTCTCGACCAGGAAAGATCTTTGTATCTTCCACTGGGACTGGGTGGTCCTTCGGTTGGATCCTACCTTCGTGCCCAAGGCCAACTCACTCTTCCATAGGGCACAGGAAGTCATTTTGCCTAATTTTTGCCCCAATCCTTCCCATGACTTGGAGAGGCAGTGGCATACACTGGATGTCCGCAGGACTCTGCAGTGTTACATCAAACACACGGCACCTTTTCGCCAGTCTGAGGTCCTCTTTATTTCCTTCCTTCCGGCTTCCCTGGGGCAGAAGGTGTCCGCTTCCACCGTAGGCAGGTGGATCAGAGCTTGTATCGCGGAGGCGTACCAGTCTTCTTCCCTGCCAGCTCCAAGTCGTATCACAGCCCACTCCACTCATAGCGCTGCAATCTCTGCAGCATGGGCCACTGAGGTGTCCATCGAGATTTGCAGGGCTGTGACATGGTCCTCACCCTCTCCATTTGTACGCCATTATAGAATTGACTGCTTCACTTCAACGGACGCCTCCTTTGGTTGGAGGGTCCTCTAGCAGGTGGTCTCCGGGGACGTAGAGCCGGCCTTATTTGTTTCCCACCAACTGGGACAGTGAGGCTTTGGTAGGTCCCATTTGGTAGGTCCCATGCCCCTTCTCCATCTCCTGTACTGCATTGTCTTACCTGAATGCCTTTTCTCAGTATGGAGATGGAGAATCCACACCCACCCCTTAGGTCAGTTAGGCCGGAGTTAGGGATCTGAGAGCCAACACCTAGTTCTACCATCAGCAACTTTCGCCCTCGTCAAGACTGGATCTCCTAGGAACAGGGGGCATGTCAAGTTTGGCTAACTTGGTCTCAAGAGCAGCCAGACAGAGAAAACCCATTGGTGGATTCTCCATCTCCGTACTGAGAAAAGGTGTTAAGGTAAGACAACGCCCCATTTGGACAGCGTACTAAAAAGCAGAGGCATAACCCTGCCAACAAAAGTATGTATAGTCAAGGCCATGGTTTTTCCAATTGCAATGTATGGCTGTGAAAGTTGGATCATAAGAAAGGCTGAGCACAAAAAAATTGAGGCCTTTGAACTATGGTGCTGGAGAAGACTCCTGCGAGTCCCCTGGACCGCAAGGCGATCAAACCTGGTCACTCCTAGAGGAGATCAACCCTGACTGCTCTTTAGAAGGCCAGATCCTGAAGTTGAAAGAAACTCAAGTACTTTGGCCACCTAATGAGAAGGAAGGACTTACTGGAGAAGGGCCTAATGCTGGGAAAGATTGAGGGCAATAGAAGAAGGGGACGACAGAGAATGAGGTGGCTGGAATAAATCACTGAAGCAGTAGGCGTGAGCTTAAATGGACTCCAGAAGATGGTAGAGGACAGGGAGGCCTGGAGGAACGTTGTCCATGGAGTCGCGATGGGTCGGACACAACTTCACAACAACAACAAACAAACTACAATATAAAAAGCACAGCTAAGTTTATAGGCACAGAGGCTTTGGGGATAGCTTGAAACTTTCAACTTTTTAACATATAGGATCAGCTCTTTGCTATAAATAAATATATATATATATATATATATATATATATATATATATATATATATATATATATATAAAATGTTTCACTATTTGATGCAGATACATCAACAGCACCCAAAATTCTTGACTTATTTTCAGGATTCAAATGTCTCCTAGGCAACTCCAAATCTACAAAGGGACTTTTATAAAAAAAATTAAAGAGAACTGTTTAGGTAGATATTAGTTATTTGCATGATTTAGAATTCCTCATATTGAAGTATAAGTATGATCTTACTCTTACAGTAAAATTGTCATCCTAGTTTTAAATTCTTGAGCTGATTTTCTCTCTGCCTATGACTTGACTCTATTGACCTAACAAAAAGAGACACCAATCTATATAGTTTAATATTGCATTTCAAGACTGAGCTATACTGTTTTTGAATTTTTATTTCTCTCATTTTTATATTTGTTTATGGGGGGTTTTGGTGTCTTTTTTATATATAAAAGTACTTTTTATTTTAAAAGTACCCTGTTGCAAATGAAGGGTATTGTTTAAAAGCAGCAGATTTCACCTCTATGAAACTATATGATTAAGATGTGAAAGGCATCAAGGAAGCTGCAACTAAATCTTGCCAGAAACCAAAATGCTCAAAAATTATTCATATATTGGTTGCAAGCCAGAATGTAAGATAAGCACCATAATGCTTAAAAGTACCTTTACGTCTTAAGGGTAAACAATAGCATTAGCAATAGCACTCAGACTTATATAAGCTTCATAGTGCTTTACAGCTCTCTAAGTGGTTTACAGAATCAGCATATTGTCCCCAACAATCTTGGTCCTCATTTTACCAACCCTGAAAAGATGGAAGGCTGAGTCAACCTTTGGCCTGTCAGGATTGAACTCCTGGTGGTGGGCAGAGTAAGCATGCAATACTGCATTCTAATCACATTCTTATAACTATATCCTAACCAATTATCCTTTTGACATATAAAAGCAAGCATATTCTGTCCTACTAAATTCTCCAAAACAAACACAGTGCAGTTATCCAAATGAAGTATCTAAAACAATGTCTTCATATGCCAGACAATGATTGAAATAACAGTTTAAAGAAGAAAAATAGGAATTAAAATTAAAATTTCTGAATACTTGTCAATTTCATAACTGCTTCCTGATTTTTTGTCTCCATTTTGGATATGTATATAGATGGATTAATAGATGCAGATGGAAATGTCAGCAAAATCTGGAATTTATTCTCTAAAAGTTCTTTTCTTCATATACCAATTTGAACCACAATATAATGTTTAGCTTTCTGCTTAGTTTCTTAGTTCATCAGTTCATATATTTTGAGTAATCGTGTCATATAGAATTTAGTAGTTCCAAAGCTTCTTTTTGTACCTGGAACAATAGAAGTGAAGAAAATCATTTGATACAGCATGCAAATCATGTAAAAATAGTTGTGTTAATTCATTCTGTTCTGCTAATTTGCCTTTGGTTATTTTTTAAAGAAAATAGAGGATTACAATGAAGAAACTGGGTAAGTTCGATAACATTTGAGGACCAAAAGTTTAGCAGTCTATGAAGACATTGATCTCCAGGAATAGATCAGATAGAAACTGATGCAATGTGAAGGTAGTCTCCCTCTGGAAATCAGACTGGCTCTCTTTTTACTGCATTTACATCAGCTCTCAAAGGCCAGGCTTTTTTACTGAGCCTTCCCCAATTTGATTTGATAGTACCATCTTAAAAAAAAACCCTTGTTTTTATTTTCATATGGGATTTTTTGCTGCATTTCTTTTTAATGTGAACAGCAAAGAGTTTTTCTTTATTGCATTGGTATACAAAGTGGTATTGGTATACAAAGATGTTAAACAAACAAAAATTGAGCACTGAGAGCTGGTTTCAAGTTTATGCTTAGTAACAAACTTGAGTCAATAACCATCACTCAAATCAGTTTACCACAGGGCTGCTATAAATAAAACTGACAAGCCACTCTTCCAGGTAAAATTCTCACAATGAAGTACAGTGGAACCCAAGTAGAGTACCATATCAAGTTTATGAAATCCTTTTCAACCCATTCAATTCTTTTCCCTGAAAAAGGGATAGAAAGAAATCTACAGGAAATTATTCTAACCATCAATTGTAAAACTTAGCTTTGATGAAAAACATTAACAATGCTCATTAACAATGTTCATAATACACCAGATCTAACATTTCTATAATCATTTGAGAGTTGGTTACTAATCTAACATTTCATAAAAAATATGATTTATTTCAATATACATTTCCAAGATTTCTTTAGATAAATAATTTATTAAACTTAAATTAAAACTGTCAAGTTCCCAGTAACCCTGAGATGATTATTCTCAGCAAAGGCGATATTGGCTGGTTAGTTCTGAAAGTGAGACAATATATTACCAAGATCAGGAAACACAACTTTAGGCTACAGTGTGAAGTTAATGAAAGCACTTATGTAGGTTCCATAAGTGTTCTAGCACAAGAATACTTAAAAATGTTTTTTCTATATCTATATACATATCTGACTGTGAAAATAGCTTACCTGCTTATCTTCCTCTGTATGTGGTAGCCTGTCTCTAGCTTTTGTTAGCCAGAGAAGGGCCATCTTTTTATTATTTAATTTGATGTATGTCTTTCCTAAGAACAGCAAGTTTTTACTATAGAAATTTGGTTCAACTACAGAAATAAAAACAAACAAAAAATTTCTGGTTTTTAATTTATAATGTAAAGCTTATTTGCCTCTAACATTTTAAAAAGTTAAGCATAATCCCAGTACATATATAGAAAAGAGAGATTAAGTGCTACTTTTTACCGGGTGATAAAGGATATTTGGTTCTATCTGCACTGTAATGTTTTCATTTCATATCCCTAGATCTACATTCTGTATTAAATCTATATATCTGATTTATATTAAATTGTTCAACATATTTTTAAGATGAAAATTACTTTGCTTCTGTTCCTCAATATGAAAATCACTTCAGTATATATTTTTATAATGCAAATTCTGATGCAAGTTTGTTTATGACTGAAACATTTCACATTCCTCTTCAGAGCACTTTATAATGTATAAATACGTAAGTGTTTTTAAATAATTTTTATCTTCTCATGATCAATAGAAACATTTTTATAAACTAAGAAGAAATGCTTGTTTTAACATAATAAACTCGTAACATTCTCTTGGGATAGTTTTATCAAACAATTATTTTTTAACATCCCTATTGAAAGAATATTAAGTAGTATATTAAATAGTGTAATTAAAAGGTTGCATATTCAGTACTCAGTTTTAGTACTCTGAAACACTATGTGTTTTCTAATTTATAAATTGAGTATTTCTCTAATGACTAGAGATGCTAATTTTTTAACACTACATTGATACCTTGGTAGATATATCATTAGATACAGGCGAAGAGAATTTTAAGAACTTTAATTTACCTATATCCTTGTTTTATATGCTATAAATATTTTATACTTTCATATAGTATCTTACACATTTTAATTTTGATTTCAAAATTGTTGTGTGATATGCTTTCTTACGTAACTTACCATTTTCAGCCTTTTGAAAGTACTGTAATGCCTAGAAGACATTAGTATTAACATTAGAATATTATTAAAGTAATCCAAATCCTTCCATTTCAATTAAAATTCTTCAATAACTGCAATGTAACTTGTGTTTTCTAAGAAATACTGTTGAGAAAAGGGAATACTATGCTTTATAATTTATATTCAAGATATATTTATTTACAAACGTAATTAAACTTATTTTATGTATTTTATGAAATAGCTTGTATACTATATCATCAATAAGTTGTTAGTCATTTAGTAGATGGTACATTTATTTTTAAGAATCTCAAGTTTTATCCAAAAATATACTGTCTGACACTATAGCATAGCTTATAACGACTAACCTTTCCATCTGTTTTTCTTTCATTGTTTTAAAGGATAATACACCAAAAAAGAAGAAGCTATATAAAATATTAGTGGGACACATACTTCTTCATAGGTAGAACTAGGTGGTGTTGAGAATAAAACAGTAGCTATGTTCCTCTGATACCATGGCATATCAGCAAATGTGTAGCACCTGTAACATACAGAAAATGTATTTAAGTATATCTCCTAAGATCACAATATTTAAAATCACATGACTAGAGGTCAGTGAAGTCTAACTTTAACCCAACTCTAGAAAGGTGTATGTCTAACTTACTACTATACTTCCAGATCACTGCTAAAGAGCAACTAGAGAAGGCTGTAAGTTATATGCCACTTAAGTGAAAAAAGACCTCACTGTTTTTTTTTCTATATGAAAACTATTTTTTTTTATTTCCAAACATTATGACTTGGCTAGTTAAATAAGTATATATTTACTCTAAAGTGATTTTGAGACTAGGGAAAGTAAGCCAAACACATTCCCTTCTGGATCTATGCTATGTTTGCTGGGTAAGTTATAAGAATAGGATTAATTTAGCTTCTCAGTGGAAGAGGGAAGGCAGGTATAAAGGTGGCATAAAGTATTAGAAACCTCCAGGACAACAAGTCAAGTTTAGAGAGAAGAAACTGATCAATCAAAGATGAGGCTGACAGTTAACATACAACAGTGGCTAAAACAGACTACCTATTTGAGTAATTGTTGGAGACAGAATAATTATTGCTGTCCAGATTAAAAGTGGCTGGTAAATTACAGATGGATTGAATATTTAATTAAGATTTTTGGGATGCTGGGTGAGATTAGGATAAGACTCACCAAAGCATTCAAGAATTGCTGAAGAAAAGTACCAAAGAGGAACAAATACATCCAATTGTGGGGACACTTGATTAGATGATCCTTAGCCAGGGTTGAAGATAGATGGAAGAAATATCTATTAAGAAGATACGTAGTTTTGTTGTTGTTGTTAGTTGCGAAGTCGTGTCCAACCCATCGCGACTCCATGGACAACGTTCCTCCAGGCCTTCCTGTCCTCTACCATCTTCTGGAGTCCATTTACGCTCACGCCTGCCTACTGCTTCAGTGACTCCATCCAGCCACCTATTCTTTGTCGTCCCTTCTTCTCTTGCCCTCAATCTTTCCCAGCATTATGCTCTCCTCCAGTGAGTCCATCCTTCTCATTAAGTGGCCAAAGTACTTGAGTTTCAATTTCAGGATCTGGCCTTCTAAAGAGCAGTCAGGGTTGATCTCCTCTAGGACTGACCGGTTTGATCACTTTGCAATCCAGGGGACTCGCAGGAGTCTTCTCCAGCACCATAGTTCAAAGGCCTCAATTCTTTTGCGCTCAGCCTTTCTTATGGTCCAACTTTCACAGCCATATATTGCAACTGGAAAAATCATGGCCTTGACTATACGTACTTTTTTTGGCAGGGTGATGTCTCTGCTTTTTAGTATGCTGTCTAGATTTGCCATAGCTTTTAGCACACATCATATTGTATTGTGTTGCACTGTTAATTTTTATGCAGTTATGATAATGTTTGGTTGTCTATATGAATAATTTGTAACTATTGTTTTTATGGTTTTAGAACTAATTGAATCAAGATGGGCAGCTATAGAAATGGAATAATTAAAAAAAGATTTGCTTACTAAGAATGTTTTGAGAACAAATGCAAATCTAGAGAAAAATACCTGAAGTGTACAAGAGTATGCTTAGAGAAGTTGGGGGAGATTTATTCATAAAAGAATGCTGAAGCTGAATTGTAAAAGTCTTCATTTACTTGGATAAGGCTTGGCCAACACTCAAACTGCTAATAATATGACTAACAAATCAAAGCCTATATCTGTTTCATTATGTCTTACTTAGCTCTTTAAGACAAGCATATTAATCATTGGGTTTGCAGATCTTTAAGATGTGGTGCTATCTAGTTTGGAGCTTCTCAACATTAGGGAAGAAAAGAAGGCCTTTTCAAAAAGGTTTTGAGCAAAATATTGCCACCTAGGATATAAATCAGTCAATAGGTTACAGCAAGGGACAACACTTATGATATTTGATCAGGAAAGTAAATGCTAATGAATAATAAATGCAATATTTAACTATTAGGTAAAAACTGGAGTGGGGAAATATGTGATCTTTCAAATACTATCATATACAAGTCCCTGATGATTGTCATGTTAGCTAGGGCTAACAAAAGTTGAAATGTAGTAATCACTGAAGGCAAAATCAATAGACCAAGTTACAGTGGGAATGAATGTACCATTAGAAGACCTGAAGGATCAAGTGAGAGATACTGTTATCTCTCAATTAGAAGGAAAAGAGGATAGATGAAATACAATGTTTTTAAAACACAACTAGTGGAAACATATTGCTGAAATTTATACATAATGTTACATATATTATAAAACAATGATGATAGGTTAGTTCATTTGTTCAGGAACTTATTGCAAATACTAAAAACATTGTACAATTACTTCACATCCCACATTATCAGATAAAAATGTTGACATTTCAAATATAATTTTGTTTAGAAAGATTGTCTTACCAAATGCCCATAAGATGAAGTGAAGTAGCATCCTTTGGATTCAGATCAATTGCTTTCTGTTTAAAAAAACCCACAAAAGCATTTATTCATCACTGCTTAATATTTACTCCATAACTCCTACCTTTCCCCTTACCTAATCCCTAGCAATAATGAAATTACATTTTGGATATCTTTGTCTGAAAAAAGTAATGAATTTCATATGGTTTAGGGAGAAATATCCTTAATATTTAGTGTACATATCTATTTTTAGCTTGTACAGATCACATTTACATCCTGACAGTTGAAAGCTAACATTAAGTTAAGTCTGCTGGCATCCAACTTTCTCTGTTCAAGCTCACAAAACTATGTTTGAAAACACAAATATCCTTCTGAAAGATATAGTTGGAAGGAAAAAGGAAACATGGAAGAAATTATAATCAGGGATATACAATTGTCAACAGGTGCTCTCTAGGATTTATATCGGTCCATTCAACAACCTAATTCAAGTATTTCAGGGTGGTTGTATATTCTCAGAAGTACATCTTCTAAAAGAGAATGTGGTTTATTATATTCTTGATACCACTGGAACACCAAAAATCACCTCCAGGATGAAAATGAGACAAAGTGTTCCATTTTGTATCTTAACTTATTTATCTACTTCAAATGAGCTTATTAACCAGGACATAGGTAATCTCATGGATTTTACTTTAACTATTATGTACTGTAAGAGAAATGGACCATAAAAGATCTCTAACAATGCAAGAAAAAGTCGAGACTATTAGAAATAGTGAATTCTTAAAACATGTAATATGGCTGAGCTTTAGTGAACTTAGTGCAAGCCATACACAAACAACATTTGAAGCATGGATTAAAAAGAGGGAAATGGCCAAATAAACAAATACATTAAGATGAGTTAGTCTTTTCTGCTCTATATTTTAATAAATAAATAAATAAATAAATGTTAATTTCCTACTTCATAAAATTATGCTTTGAAAAATTTAAACTGCTCCTTATGTTCGTTATTTCAACACCCCTTAAAACAAAGTAGTTTATTAACTATACTGAAAAGGATAAAAATATAAAACCTAAACTACATAAGTTGTCAGGCTCCTGGGACTAGAACTGAGTCCCGTAGCAAGCATGCAGCAAGCATAAATTACCGCCTCTAGAAGAAGAATGGCAAGTCTTCAGAAAAATAAAGAACTATCATTCTAAATTCATGCTCACCCTGCCTTTTCTTACCCTTCGATTCCTTAATATTTAAATGTATCCAATGTATGCTTCAAAAATGTTACATTTTTGGATCATTTTTGAAACAAAAATGTATTTTTGTATGTTAGACAAATTCCATTAAAATATTTTAAGCATTCCCTATTAATGAAGACAATGATAATTCAATGATTCATATATAATACAACAATTAAAAACCTTTCAGTTTCTAATTATTCTTCATCATAAATTGCTCTTCCATCATGTTCAGGTTTGTGTGGCAAGTTAAGATTAATACAAAAGTTGATAATTTTAAATACCTGGAAATGTTCTTTTATAACAAAAGCACTGGCAATTTTGTTCTTTATTCCTTCATAATCTCCCACATCACTGAGGCATATTGCATACCACTAAATAAAAAGAATAGATTATTTAGCAATATGAAATTATCATATTGTCAATAAAACATTTTTAACCATACTACACAAAGATTTGTTATTTGAAGCTTCAGTTAATAGGGAATGCTATGTGGTTAACTGTCTAAAATGAACTATATTTTAAACTAAATTGAATGGCATAGAATTTCTTAAAAGTCCAAGATGAAGGAGGTTTTAAACCAAGTAAAGATTACATAAAGGTCCTGAGAGAATAGATTATATAATTTTGAAAGAGTGAAGAACCTTTCCCACATTCTATATTCAGACAGGTTTCTGAAAAAAATAGACATTTCAAAGAAATTCAATTTTAATCTAGACTGGTTCATACTTAAACAGGACATGACTAGCTTTAACCGCCCAAGCCATTCTAGGCTTTTAAAATTAAAACTTGAAATAAAAAATAACTGGCAATAACTTAGTTCAATTACTCTTCTATGATTTATCTTACACTATGCAACACTTGTGTTTTAAAAGCAAAAAAGCAAAAGGGTGCTCTGGAACATGCAGGGATACTTAAGTTATATGTATCTTCATCTTTTAAAGCAGTGGTTCTCAACCTGTGGGTCGGGACCCCATTTGGGGTCGAACGACCATTTCACGTGGGTCACCAAACCACGCTGTCCGCTATTTTTTTCCCTTTTCCCTAGCTGTCCTACTCCCTCTTATTGGTGGCCACACCCACTTGGGGGTCACCACAACATGGGGAACTGTATTATGGGGTCACGGCATTAGAAAGGTTGAGAACCACTGTTTTAAAGCAACTGAATCTTTTCTTGGGATCATGCAGCTACTTCTGCATCCTTTTGCCTTTGAGTATATCTTAGTATGTATCACTAGCTGCAATATTTCAATATTGTATCTACTTTAAAACAATTAAGTCAGTAGAAATATTACTGCAGCTAGTTTCTGGAACTTTCTGATCTCAGTTCATTTGGCAGGCTGGTTTGAAATGATAATTGTTGCATGATTACTAATTAAATTAACTGAATATAAGTTTATTATTTAAGATATGAAAGAATTGTTGCAATTTTCCTTTCAAATTTCTACCAAGTATAAATTATTTGTTTGTCTAACCTTGTGTACGCTATAACAAGTGTTGTCTTTCTCAAGTGCCTTCTTTGCATAATCAAGGGCTTCATAAGCCAGCTGCTTCTTGTTTTCTGCTGAAGTTTGACTAAGATGAGCAAGGTCTCGTAAAGCTCGTGCCAGACGCCATAACACTTGTGCATTTTCACTGTATATTAACATATATAATAGGATGTATTGATTATGATTTACCATAGTAAGATATCAATGTAAAAACTATTTATTATACATTTACTACCAAACAATAGTTCTGTGGGAGAACTTTATATAAAATAAAACAATTTAAAGCAATTTAGTAACACAGCACTGCATGAGACTATAATAACTGTAATTAATGGGTATTTTGCAATGAACTGAATCTAGTGAAAGTAGAGGTACTCTACAAGTGTAATCTATTCCAAAAATTAAAGTCTGGGGATATTCAAATTTACCCAGAGAAAAATTTTATGAACCAATTCCCAATCTCCTAAATGAATTTAAAAATTGATCTTAGAACTTCAAACTGTTTTATTGCTCATTTATTGCTGGTGCACAGTGCCATGTATTGATATTATTTCATTTTGAGTGTTTTGTTTTCCATTGAAAGCAATTAGAAGAAAAAGTTGTTTTTTTAAATGAGAGTAAAGGACTCAAGAGGTCCACTATAATGTATTCTAAAATTCTGATTTCAACCCTTCCATGTATCTAGTGATTTTGTATCATAGCTGTGCACTCTATGCCAATCTCAACCCATTAGAACATGCCGAAATAGCATACTGTACCTGTTCTTGTGTTCACTCAGCAACTGATAAAGCTTTTGGGTTTCTCCACTTCCATAGAGATAGTCTGCTTGATCTAGGATTTCATCAACTAATGATATAATAAAACAAGAATTCAATGAATACCTGTGAAGCAGGTATTATTTAATAGAAAAATATTTCATATTATTGCATACAGACATACTAATATTACGTCAGGAATAGAAGACAGTTTTAATAGAAGTAGCATCATGGTAGTCAAAACACATTTCTATCAACAGCTCTATTGTATTATTGGCACAAACAACCCAAAGCAGGGGTCCCTAACCTGTGGGCCACAGCCCACTATTGGGCCGTGGCCTATTGCCCACCGGGCCACATGAGTGGCTGGTAGATGCACATATGTGCTCATAGCCCCATTCATGCGACCATCACAGGCATTTGGGGTCCCATTTGCGTGAGTGTCACAGGTGTTCACGGCCCCACTTGCGTGCACGTTTACCCCTTCCACAAAACCATCCCTTCTCTCTCCCCTCCCCCATGCTCCAGGCCGCAAACCCCGGAAGGTTGGGGGACTCTGACCCAAAGGAAATATATATGTATTAGACAATATATAAAAGGACAGTCAGCCAGAGAGGAATATGACAGGCTTTTGAATAAATATGTTAATAAGTTAAACATGATTTATATATATATATTTACAAAAATATAAACTTTGTAAAGAAACAAAATATGCAAAATCCACTTTATATACATTTTAAACTATCTATCAGCAACAAATTCTATATCAATCTAGATACCTGTGCCAATCTCCATCTCAATAATCATCTTATGGTTGAGCTTCCACCTCATCAATATTATTCTAAATAAAGCCCTTCTATTTGATTCATTTAAATACATAACTAATTACTGAGTTTCAAAGTTGTTTAAGAGTGTTAATAGAAAGCATACAAAATTATAGTGCAGTTTTCAAGATCTCCCGAAGATGGGTCCAATATTTTCAGACTTCCTCTTTTGTATAGGGTATGAGGGGTGAAATGGATTTCTTAAACCTTCAGGATTTTAAAATACTGAATTGATTGAAAGAATGAAACATCAGGCTGATATTGCCCCCTTTTCATTTTAGAGAACAAAATCAGTATCTAAATATTTGCAAGGCTGAATTTTTCTTCATTGAGTCACTTCAGAGCTAGGCCTCAAAACCAACAAATACCCTTTCTCACTTGATATTCCCCATAGGATCAAATAACTTTGACCTTGCTATCCTTTTATTGGATACTGAAGACCTGGATTTTCCTCCTGGCCTTAGGTAAGATGGATTCAGTGTGTGTTTTCTGCTGGTTATGTTGTTTCCCTGGTTATATTGTTTTATTGTATTGTACCATTTTGTACTGTATTGTATTATATAACCTGTATGCCACCAGAGTTCTGATGAGTTGTGTGGCTTTATAAATTTGATTTATAAATAACACAGCCATACTCAGTCATACCCAGTCCTTCCTCTAATAACAACAAAAAAACCCAGATTATATTTTAGCAATGAAGGATTGGATTTGACAATTGTGCATTTTTAGAATTTTTTCTTACCTTTCACATCAGCCCAAACCATAGCAGATTGAGAAATTACTAGATAAGTGTTGTATCCCAAGTAAGACAATGCTGAGAATAGAAACCCTCTTCTGAAAATTCTGGAATTTTCAAACACCTAATAAAAAATTCAACATAGCTATTTACAAATCTGATGCCAATTTTTTGTATCTAAGCATATATGTTCACAAAGTGGGCTAAAGGTGGAATCTGAGCATTGGTATTGAGCACTATGGTAAGTGATATTGTGGCTTACTATAATATGGAATTAGGATCATTGTTTTTTATGGTATATATAACTTCACATATTTCAGTGTGTTAAAACCTACCTATTGTATGTCACAACTCTTTAGCTCTTTCTGTTGATAAACTCTATATTTCTGCCCCCCAAATAATTCATTGCTACCTTTGGTTCTCTCTCTGTTGTGACCATTTTAATCAGGGCATCTTGTTTACAATGAAACAAAATATTGTAAGCTTAAAGACCTAAAGTATCAGTTACCTTTTCCTCCTGTTACTATGCATGAAAAATAGGTATTTAAAACCAAGCAGGCATCCTAATCATGTACTTTCAATGTTTAAGGTTTTCTAAGAAATTTTAGAATATGGATTCCGATTCTTTCTATTGCACTCATCTTGGAGAACATAAGTACAAACACACATAAGCTAGTCAAAGTGTGGCCTGAATTTATCAGTTCACTTGTTCTGCTTTAGGCACAAAGCCAACTGATCTCCGGTCATTCCTCTTAATCTTTCCCTCAGCCCTAGGAAGGAGGCAATGGGAAATCACTTCTGGAAATCTTATCAAGAAAACTGCAGAACTAGCCAGGCAGTTGTCAGAAGTCAACACTGACTTGAAGGCATAAAACAACAATAAAACCATGAAACCCTTCAAGTTGTTTGGACAACCATTCTCCCTCCCTCCCTCCTTCAGGGGAAGGGGATATTTGTCCAAGAACAAAATACTACAAGAATAAAACACAGACGTTAAGAACAATTTGAAAGCATCACGTCAGTAAGAATGATTTTTTTAATCTCTTTATGATCTGCTTCTCAGTAAAGCAAACATTCCCAAAAATGCCATATATTTTTCTCAAAGAAAAATCATAGGTTTATTATCCTAATTTTTCGGATTTTTCCCGCTCAGCAAATTAGAAAGCTCGCAAAGAGTATGGCAGCTCATCCTCAGAGGCTTAAGGAGTAATTAACGGGGAGAAGGCGAAGCCAGATAAAAAAAACATTTAAGAGAGCCACGCTTTTTTCCGCAAACCAAGACCCATCATTTTCTCCTTTTCCAGAACAAACTCGGGCCCTATATAGGAGAGGATAAGAAGGGATGAGCTTATAAACCAGTCATACCTCGACTCCCCTTTTCCCTCCATGACTTAAAGAAAGCTGACGGCTGCAGCCGGATTTCATTCTTGTGGCTTCGCAAAAGAAACGGGTCTCCCAGAAACAGCAGCTCCGAAGCCAGCGTCGCACTGCAGTCCTCCCCAGCGCCATGACAAAAAAGTCTCTTTGCTATTTTTTCCGCCCCCGCTCCCCAAATCATTCTTTCCTCGCATATGCCGGAAACAGGAACTGCCTGTTTAACTCCACAGCATTTTTACATCTCTGTAATCTACACCGGAAAAGCTCCATGTTCCCTTCTAAAAAAGTCCGGAAGGAACAAGATTCAAGTTGCATTCATTCCACTCTTCCTTGGCAACCGCTGTCACAACTGTGATTTCCCAAGCACCTCACCGCTCTCTTGGCTCTTCCCTGCGGACTTAGTTTTTTTTTTTTCAACTGGCAGGGGAATTCTAGGAGTTGAAAACTAGAAATCTTAAAAGTTATCCAGTTTGAAAAAGACTTCACTACATTGGCTTTCTACACGCGGAGAAACTGAGTTGTCAAAGTTCTATCACGTGACCCCGATCATTTTCAGGAAAAGAGGAGCATCTTACAAATTTTGGTTGGTTTAGGAATCTTTTTTTAAAAAAAACCAACTACCTTTACAGCGGTTTACAGACGCAAAGCAGAGCGCATGCGCCTTTTGGTGCCAACAACTGGCTGGCTTTCCACGTTGGGAAAATTGCTTGGATTACCCAACTGGGAGCGAGGAAGGGGGAATAGCAGAAGCGCCGCCCCTAAAATACCTGAGCGGCCTTACCGCTGTAGCTTGCATTGCATTGTATTATATTGCATTGCTTCGTGGAACAGAACTGGGCGAGGCCGAAGAAGAAGATCTCTGCTCACGGAGGCTGGTGTGATCTCTCGAGGTCGGTACATTGGCGAGTATGCCTTCCACAGTCTTTCCTTCCAGATGGATCGAATTGCATCCTTTTTTGGGTCGGGGTGGCCGGGGGATGATGAACCTTGAGGGCATCAATTTGGGCAACACTAGTCGACGTAGAAGAAAGTGGAGCTCGGAGGGGGCCGAGGGATAAAAGACGGAAAAGGTTGGTTTGGGAGAGTAAGAAAATAACTGCAGAGAAAGAAAGTTTATATAAATAGGTTGATTGTTATTGATTCTTAATATCAGTAATACGTTGGTGATAGATTACAGGCCGGGAGACAACTTTTGGGCAATTAGTATCTATATTGTAGATAATTTTGGAAAAAGAAGAAGCTGCCAATAGGTGTGGCTGCTGGGACATATTGGGTGTGTGAGGAATCAAAGGCAATCGTATGCTAGGTCCATTTAATGCCTTACCTGTGCAGGTTGTGACAAGAGAAAGGATGAGAAGGAGAAGATTTAGGACTGTTCAGATACTACTGATTTCTTTTAGGAAGTTGGAGTCCATTGTTAGGAACAAAAACCTATTTGGCTATTTACTCTTTTCTTTTGTTTAGAAATTTGTGGGTGCATGCGTGCCTTCAGGCCCTGGTGACTGCCTGGACAAGACTCTCAATTTTCTTAGCAGGATTTTGGAAGTGCTTTGCCATTGCCTGCTTCCTAGGGCTGAGAGGGAGTGGCTGGTCAAAAGTTACCCTGCTGGCTTGTTGTCTAGGGCAGAACTAAAGCTCTGGGTTCCTAGCCTGAGGCCTTAATCACTACACCAAACTGGCTCCTTCAGAAGTATAAGGTTGCATTTTTTCTGAAAAGAATATTATGCTTACAGATATTTGTAATTTACTGTTTTAAAAAGTGTTTCATGGTTCCCATCTATGCTGCTGCTGAGTCCTCTCTTTACCACCGATTGAGAACCTCTGGTTTAGACCATCACATGACATTATGGGACCCAGTGTTATCTTTGCACTAAAGTGCTGGTGCAGTGCTGTATTTTTTCCTTAGTCTTTACGTTTAGCTGGACTAAATGTCACAAAACCACAAAACAGCCCACAGATTTTCTACATTTTCTTCCTTGTGAAAGAGTGATTATGGTATCCCAGGTTTATAAGAGGAAGGGTATACAAAGAAAGGTGTTGTTTTTCCATCATGCTCCCTGTAATTTGCAACAGACTTCTGGAAGCTAGGTTGCTCCCCTCCATGATTGTGTTCTGGGAAATTTTGAAGACTGAACTCTTCTGGAAGGCCCTTAAAAATGACTATGCAGCATCTGAAACTGAATTTCTTTAGCTAGTTAACTGGTTGTATTATGTGTGTGGGTGTGCATAATTGTATTAAAGTTTTTAAAAATAAAAACTAGCAAGAACTAATAGAAAAAGACAAAAGTGCAAGAAGGAAAGAAAAATATAGAAGCAGGTTTCAATTTTCTTTATAGACATTATAAGTGAAAAATGTAAATTAACCACTTTATATAGATGTTCACCCTGCCTTTATTGCTTTATAAATAACTCAAAGTAAGAAACATACATAACAGCCCTTTCTCCTATTTTACAACAACAACCATGTGAGGTGAATTGGACTGGGAGAGAGTGACTGGCCCAAACTTACCCAGATGGCTTTCATGCCTATGGCTGGAGTAAAACTCACTGTCTCCTGGTTTTTAGGCCAGCACAATAACCATAACATGAAACCTGCTCTTGATTACAAAGTTTACATTTTTTTCTATAATCTATTTTTTTAAATCATCAAAACCATATGTCATAATTTATTTATTTTTAGTTTCATGCAAAAAAAGTCTATAGGTTTCCAGTCAAGTTTACTGGTTGTATTCATGATGTGTTTATTTTGTTTAACACATTGTTATGGAGGATTTATATTACTATGAGATACTTAAAATTTGATAGGATGTAGATTTGATAAATAATTGGAAACAGTTCAAAGCAGGATAAACAATTGACTAAATATTAGAACTAGGGAATGTATGGAGTTTGATCACATCCTTAAGGATTGTGACAGTAGATAGCAAACTTTACTAGATTAGATTGCATGAGGTGTGTGATTTTCAAGTTACATCTAAAGTAAAGCTGTGTATATAAAATTCATGTATTATCCATATCTGTCTTAATATGCTTGATTGAAAGAAAGAGTAAATATTTAGACAATGTAAGAAAGCAGTAGATAACATGGCATGATATATTAAGTCTAAATGGTAAATTAAGTTACATTAAGTACAGTAACAGCTGGAGGGATATAGCTTCAAAAATTATATGTGGGTACAACTTGCTAAATAAGCTAACAGATATGTGCAGGGTACATATGATAATTGATTTTCTCATTCTATGTTGCAGATGGCAGCGCAGTGTGTAACAAAGGTGGAGCTGACTGTTTCTTGTAACAATCTCCTAGACAAAGATATTAGCTCCAAGTCAGACCCTCTTTGTGTGCTACTTCAATACACAAGTGGACAGCAGTGGTATGAGGTATGTTATAATGGCCATTGGGCTATTTAATATAGTCTGTTTGCTTTACTATTGGGAAATAGCAAGTTCAGGAAGTCCTCTTTATTAAAGTATTAGGACTAGGTTGTTTTTAAACAAAAATGCACCATTAACCATTTCAAATGGCAGTTTCTACACATTCAAGCAGTCTAAGAAGAGTTCTGTTTCTTTTTTCCTTTTATTAGAAAATTCATTTTGCACATATAGGATTGCATCCCACTTTGCCATTCTTGACACAAAAACAGAATAGTAGTTCTTATGCCAGGTGTCTTGTAAATCTTTTTATCGGAAAATTGAGTGAATTTTCGGGAAATGGAATGTGCATGACAAAGTTAAGGGGAAGTGTGAAGGAACTCCTATTACAAAACGTCTTTGACTTATGACTACAATAGGGATGCTATGTGGTCATAAAACACAACATTTTGGCAATGGGCCAAAATAACTGCCATACCTTGAAACCGCTGCTGAATGAATGGTTATAAATCGAGGACTACTTGTAATTGAATAGGTGTTCCTTGATAGCTTTGTGTGTCTTGTGCAAAGAATAAAATAATGTCAATTTAAAAGTACATATTTTCTGGTTTTGCTAAAATTGCATTTTATATTAAAAGACTTTACATAATATTTCAAATGCTTCTGAAAAATATAAAAAACCAGTGGTATCATAATATTTTTCATATTTATTTGAAAGTAAGTGTCAAAATAAACAACTGGAATTTAATTATTGATGCAATCTAAAATTATATTTGTATTATATATTAGTGTGTTACTATATTTACTTTCATTTATTCGATTAATAAGGTTTTTTTTGATAAACTACATTTAGCAATTTGCGAAGGAAAATCTGTCAGCATTCTTTCATTGTAAAGATTTTTTTTAAAAGATTTCTTCATGCCTAAAATGTACTGTTTATACTTTACAAAATTTTCAGCATAATCCTGTGTAAATCCATTTATACTTACTGAGATTTATGGCATATCATTTTATTTATTATTTTATGCCTGCTTTATTGCTTTATGAATAATTCAAGGAGGCAAACATATTTATTATTCCTTCCTCCATACTAATATAAATGGGCATGGGATTGCATATTTACCCCTATTTTCTTTAATTTTCTTGAGATGAGTGCATTTTCCAGAATGCTCAAACAGAAATTTGAGAAATAAAAAAAATTGTACTGTACTGTATTGCAGGTTGATCGCACAGAAAGGATCAAAAACAGTTTGAACCCTAAATTTTCCAGGAAATTCCAGATTGATTACTATTTTGAACTAGTTCAGAAACTCAAATTTGGGATTTTTGACATTGACAATACAACTGTTCAGCTGAACGATGATGACTTCTTAGGAGAATTTGAATGCACACTGGGACAGGTATGTGCAAACGGGTTCTGGACATTACTGAAAATATAATAATATTGGCAGGGTGGGAAAAGACCAAAACCCATTGACAAGATATCTTTATTTTGAGAAGGGACATTCTGTTATAACCAGCTTGCCTGATTAACAGATTTTTGTATAATTTCAGTTAATTTGTGCTTTCTGTTGGTTTCATTCTAGAAATTGTAATTTGTTCATTTACCATTCAATTTGATCCAGCAAATGGCAAGACTTGAAATCCCATTTATGCTAAAATTAATTAATGTGTTATTCCTTGCACATATACAGTGAAAATGGAGGAAATTGATACTTATTGTCTACCTTCTTTTCATTTAAAAATACTATATTCTTTAAAAGCAATTTGAAGATTTTAAACCATTTTTAAAATCAAAACAGAAATTAAAAGCATGAAACTAGTAGGCTACTTAAAAGTCTTTCTAATTTAATGTGTGTGAGTGCATATGTTCAGGCCTTCAAGTCAGTCTTGACTCCTGGCAACTGCCTGAAGATGTCCCTGCACTTTTCTTGACAAGATTTCAAAAATGACTTTACATGTCTCCTTCCTAGGGCTGAGGAAGAGTGACAAGCCCAAAGTTACTGAACTGGCTTTATGCCTCAGTCAAGACTACCGGTAGTACTCACAGTCTCCAGGTTTCTAGTTGGTGTCTTAAGCACTTAAACCAAACTCGTTCTCTCAGCATAACATATTCAGTTGATAAAATAGTGGGTTTTGCACTGAGATTTGGACTAGATCGGGGGTGTCAAACCCGATCACATCTCAGGCCGTATCATGACATATATGAATTTGTTTTGCCCTTGTGGGGCTGGAGTGGGTGTGGCCTGCGCGGGCCGCATCTGGCCCGTGGCCCTGTGTTTGACATGCCTGGATTATTTGATCTTCAAGGATCCTTCCTGCTGTTATATTCTGTGACTCTGCAGTTAAAAAAATAAGTATGGGTGAAGATGTCATTGAGACATCTGACTACTTTGTATTTGAGCCATAATAATCATGGCTTTTTATATCAACATTTATTAAAACAAGAAGATCTATAAGGCAGATATAATTTTCTTTTTTTATCCCCGGATATATTGTAGTTTCTCTCATATCTTCCTTACTGCAGTATTTTCTATTCCATCTTAACTGGGAAACTAATTAAGTTTTAATTTAAATTCAATGTAAGAATTGAAGTATAAAAAGGAGCAGTGAGCAAAGGGAGCAGTGGTGGATATTATGGATTTGATTATAGTTTTTGACATAAAACATTTATTGCATCTGGAACAACCTTCAGTTACACGAGGTGGTAATTGTAATAAATTGCTTTCTTTTTCTGAATATTTCTGTATTTTACAGATTGTTTCTAGCAAGACGCTTACTAGACCTTTATTGTTAAGAAATGGCAAACCTGCAGGAAAAGGTGTAATTACGGTATGAAAACAAAGCAGAAGTTTTCTGATTGATTATTTTTTACTTTTCTCTTTTCCACCTGCTTCCAATATATCAGTATAAGCAAGAGAAATGAATGATCTGTCATTCCAGCATAGTGTGATTTACTTTTCTGCAAATAAGCATTTGAAGATTTGTAAAGTGTTTTTCCATGAACTTAAAAACTATTTATTGTTTATGTTTTCCTGATTTGTTCAACATTTTCTTCTTCATTTTTCTGGTCTGAAAAATAGGTAGCTATATTTTTAATCCAAATACTATTTTGCCTGATGCTGCATACAAGATTTAGCTTTATATTTTTAAATAGTAATCTTGTTTTCTAAATTCTTTTGAAAATTAAAAACATTTTTAAAATAGTTCCAAATAGGATGGCATATATGTCTTTTATTCTGATAAAAACAAGGCAGAATCTCATTGAGTAAAGCCAGGGCAAAAATATAAAAAACTACTTGCAACTGCATGATATATTATTATTGCTTCTGAAATTGATAGAAATGTCTCGTAGAATCTTCCATTTGTTTTCTGTTGTTTGATTTATAAAATAAGACATAGCCATAATTTATTAGAATGGTGTGCCTTAACAGTAATATTAGTCTGTATTTACTCAGATTAGTGCAGAAGAAATAAAAGACAACCGTGTAGTCCTACTTGAAGTTGAAGCAAGGAAACTGGACAATAAGGTGAGATAACTGGAAAATTGATACACTTGCCCACCTTAATTCCTAAAGTTTGTTTCCAGGGTTAGATATCTGCCATCAAAAAGGTGATTGTTAGCTAAATATGCTGCATTCCTTTTTCTAGATATAGGTCCTCCAGAGCAATATTTCTCTCGACATGTTCTTGTATAAATGGCTGTTTTAGAAGTCACTGTATTCAGACTGTCATGCTATGGCAAATTTTACTCAAAATTGTAAACCTGGTTCAAACTGTTGGCATAAGATCCTGGTTTTGGATTGTCATAATTTCTTTGTTTAGAATTACATTTTCCCATTCTACCAGGTTAGGTGGGGGGGGCCACACACCTAGGTGCTCCTCCTAAATATTGCCATCTGATGGCAGCTAGGAAGTGTGCCTTTCCCATGGCAGCCCCTGCCCTATGGAACCCTCTGCCTCCCAACCTTTTCTCATGATTCCAAGCCTTCCCTAAAGCTTTGAAGATCTAGCTTTTTCTCCCATCACTGGGATATTATTGCATTCTGCACATTGGAAGTCTGACTTGACACCAGGTTATTTTTAATATTTTATCATGTTTAATTTTATAATTTTAATATGGTTTTATAGGCTGTTTTAATTTAGAGTTACCTAGTTGATTAAAAAATGGGTGGCTGTATAAATGTTTTAAGTAAATAAAAGAAATAAATGAATGTAAATTAATTTACTAAATTGTAGTTTACAAATAAGTGGGATTCAAAAGGGGGCATTTTGGAGAAAGAAGCTCTACAGCCCAAATTATACCTAATTATGGTAGGACCATTGCATTTGCATTGTTCTAAGGATGGAATGTTATTAATTTTTAAATATTCGTTTTGGGGGAATGAACTGGGAGATGAGTTCATTGAAATTGTAAAAATTGCAACAACTCTTGTTTCAGAAAGGAATGGTTATATTTACAGTGAACTTTAAACAAACATCTTTGTATTTATACTGATTTTTCATTCCTTGTTTAACCTGATTTTTTTGTTGTTGCCTTTCTAGTTTGCTGCCATTGTTCCTTTTTTGGAAAACAATGTTTTATTGTTATGCATTCCCTGAGTTTTTTCAAGGAAAAAAGTCTATTATCCAAGAAATTATACTTAGCCCTTTGCAAAGCTATCAGTGAGAGGAAACAAGCAGAATTGCTTTGGACAACAGGGCTATTACCACAAAAGAATACAAAGTTTTATTTGAAATATAATTCAGGTAGCTTATTTCTAATTCCAGGATTTCTTTGGAAAATCCGATCCTTATTTGGAATTTCACAAGCAAACATCTGAAGGAAAATGGGTGATGGTCCATAGAACGGAAGTAAGTGTCCTTTTTTGAGTTGGTTTGGTTATTTAATATCACAGATTATTTCAGCATCTTTAGCTCTGATTTCAGAAACTTTGCAACTAAATTCTGAATGGATAGCGCTTTAAAAAAATCAGCTGTAAGTTTTAAGAAGGTTATTTTTTCATTAGATTTTTTTCTTAATAGAACAATGTCAGTATTGGAATAACAGCCAACTCTCTTATATAGCAATACATTTATTATATTCTTGGATAAATTTGTGCTAATTGTTGGAATAATTGAATAGCAGGTATTATCCAAAATGATTTATTCAGAAATCATGCTAATATATCTAAAATACATACTTTTATAGGTTGTTAAAAATAATTTGAATCCTGTCTGGAGGCCATTCAAAATCTCCCTCAACTCTTTGTGTTATGGTGACATGGACAAAGCAATCAAGGTAATATTGAAGGAAAGTAGAAATATCATTATAATTTGAAAGTATTTTGAACAAAGATGTTTTAATTTAGAACCTTAACATAAATTTCTGTTCTGTAGCTTTATGAGATATGAATGAATTTGTACATTAAATAGGATTTGCTAATGCTATTCTGAAAATTAAAGAGATTCATAAATACGGTAGCAAAATACATTGGTGAATAGTGAATGATTTGGTGTCAAAACAAGCAAACATTCTAATCAATTACCAAAATATCATAGATAGACCTTAGTTGACACAGAAGCTACCTATTCAAGAATTTCCTTAGTCTGGTGGCATCTCTTGTATTAAACTATGTTAGACTACAACTTCTACCAGCATCCACCATCAGGCCTATTGGCCAGTCTTCAGCTGATGAAAAAGCAACATACAAGGTGGGGAAAGATAGTCTAGCTCAGGGGTGTCAAGCCTGATCGCATTGAGAGCCATATCGTGACGTATTGGGAAGTTTTTTGCCTGTGCAGGGCCAGAGTAGGTGTGGCCTGTGCAGGCCACATCTGGCCCGTGGGCCGTGTGTTTGACATGCTAGTATAGTTCTTCTTTAATGATACATTTGTAATTGAGTTTATGTAAGACCATGTTCGTCACCCATTTGTTTTTCTAAAATGCAATAAACCAGTAGTAGCTGGCTGGTTTTACAAACTATCTTTAAAACTAGTCTTGCATATCTTAACATCAAACCTGTTCTTGCTTCTATGCTTATAGGTCTGTTATAAGGCCTTAGTTTTTTCTTTAATGGGAGAATTAATTTAAACCTTTTTCCCCCTTTAATAATGTTTTGGAATTTAAACACTACCCTGATAGCCACAATCAAAGACACCTTGCATTCTCTAAAAGTGTTTGCAAGAATGTATTTCATGCGACTGTATCTCCAGGGCTGTTTAATGTGACATGCACATAGTTTGCTTCCCGAAGTTCTCTCTATCTCCCTATCCTCCACAGCCTTATTTACACTATTAGCAGTATTGTAGAGCTTTCAACTTAAAAACAAAACGAAACAGAAAAGAGGAAGTGAAGCATTCAATAGCAAATGCTGAATCACATAGTAATCCTGGCAGCAGATTCCACAACAGAAGAACACCATCTCATCCGTTCACTCACATCTTTATTTCCTTGAATTCAAGGAGGAGTTTTTCAGCTTACTAATTTAATTTGGTTTCCATCTTGCCTTGTTAGTTTTAATACTTTTTTGTTTATCCGTATCTTGATTTTCCACTCTCTCCCTATTTTGACTTAAGGATTTCCATTGGAAAGGAAAAATAATGAAAAAATAGTAAAAGTCATATTTTTATCTGCCATGATTGCAATTGGTATTTTAACTTTTTAGGAAAATTACTCTTTCCATTTTCATTCTTGCATAATTAATATTCTTCAATAAGCCATTTAATGTGAGTCTTACTTTTGTTAGAGTAAAATCAACTGTAGTGAATGTTTGATCTGATGTGTGATCAGGCTTGCAGTCTAAACTTCCTTATTAAGTACATCTGAGAAAATGGAAAGTCTTTGATAGTTTCAGGAATTAAAAATTTGTTCTAATGAACGACAGGAAAGTATGATCTTATAATAACTGAACAATGCTTTCATACTTTATGCACACAGTGTCTTATATAGCTGCCTATTTCATTGTAGTAAGTAAAATAACTTTTCTATTTCTTCCTGACAGTGTTGTCATTTTATGTGTTCAAATGGTTTGTTTCTATATTCAACCATAATGCACAAGCATCTCATTTGAATACCTCATTAGTTATCTCCAAAGTGTGTCTCTTTGTGTGTTGAAGCAGCAAGCATGAATTCTTTTTTTCTAATATGGGTGGGAAATGTAACTCTCAATATATTATATTAAATATTAAATTAATTATTAAACATTACTTTGGGTGAATATCTCTTAATGATTTGCTATGTTATTACTATGTTAATTGTTAAACTGAGGAAATGACCATAAAATACATATTGAAACATGGGTATTTGTACTGTCTTCCACTCCTGACTTCAGCTTTATTCTATGTGCTTTCATTATATCAAAACCTGTTTCCACAAATCATCTTTGGTAATAGGAGTCTCTGCATGTTTGCATTAAAGGGAATGTCTGTGCATGTATCTTGAGAACATTAAAAAAATATACTTTTGGCTATGTATTGGTTTGCAGTGTTTATATATTAGACTAGAGGTGTCAGTGAACTCATCAAAAATGATAAATGCAAGCAATTGAATTTCCTTAAAACTTAATTTTTAAAACATGTTATGGCATTTCAAGTAGTAGTGCATTACTACTACTGTTGCATTCAGTATTTTTAAAAACAAAGTTGGCACTATCATAGTTATTGAATTATAAATATGTTTGAGCAGCAATGTAGTTTGATACTCTTAAATTTTATTATGATAGCATCTATAATATTCTAGGCTAATTGCTGTATGCTTCATTTTAGGTTGAGTGCTATGATTACGATAATGATGGATCGCATGATCTCATAGGGACGTTTCAAGCTACAATGTCTAAACTGAAGGAAGCCTCTCGACATTCACCAGTTAGTCCATTTATATGTCTTTATCATGTTAATTGAAATGAATGTGGAAGCAAACATTGCTGGTCCTTGAGGCTTTGCTAATATAGCGGGGCTGTCTGAGAGTGTTTGCAGGAGTTGGTTGGGAAAGGAGAGATTGGAATACTTGGAATACTGCATTTAGTTTTGGTCACCACAATGTAAAAAAGATGCTGAGACTCTAGAAAGAGTACAGAGAAGAACAACAAAGATGATTAGAGGACTGGAGGCTAAAACTTATGAGGAACGGTTGCTGGAATTGGGTATGTCTAGTTTAACGAAGAGAAGGATGAGGGGGGACATGATAGCAGTGTTCCAATATCTCAGGGGCTGCCACAAAGAAGAGGGAGTCCTATTCTCCAAAGCGCCTGAGGGCAGGACAAGATGCAACGGATGGAAACTAATCAAGGAGAGAAGCAACCTAGAACTAAGGAGAAACTTCCTGACAGTTAGAACAATTAACCAATGGAATAACCTGCCTCCAGAAGCGGTGAATGCTCCAACACTGGAAGTTTTTAAGAAGAGACTGGACAGCCATCTGTCCGAAATGGTGTAGGGTTTCCTGCCTGAGCAGGGGGTTGGAGTCGATGACCTCCAAGGTCCCTTCCAACTTATTATTATGGATCATCGCACAGTCAGCCAGATGTTCAGACTGGATTTGGCATTTTGTCTATCGAGTCCTTACCCAGGACCTGGGATAGGCAGATGTGGATGTTTGATGGTATTACAGATATCGTCGCAAGATGGAAGCAGTTCCTAGTAAGGCCGCCTTTTCCAAATGACTAATAGCAAATTTGTCAATGCCAATGGTGTTCTAGTGGTGCTCCAGTTGTTTTGGGATTGCACCCAAGGAGCCTATTATTATTGGTACTACCCTTGCTTGCTTTTGCCAGTCTTTCTATTTCTATTTGTAGGTCTTTGTATTTTGTTATCTTCTCCAGTTCTTTCTCGTCTATTCTGCTGTCTCCAGGCACTGCCACGTCCACTATCCAGACTTTTTTGTCTTTCTTATCGACAATTGTTTAGTCTGGGGTGTTATGTTGCAGGTGCTTGTCTGTTTGAATTCTGAAGTCCCAGAGCAGTTTAATTTCATCATTTTCTATGACTTTCTCTATTTTATGATTCCACCAGTTTTTGCTTACAGGCAAATGATATTTTTTGCAGATCTTCCAATGCACCCTTGTTGCTACTTTGTCATGCCGCTGCTTGTAATCAGTTTGTGCAATCTTCTTGCAACAGCTTACCAAGTTGTCCACTGTTTCTTCAGCTTCTTTGCATAGGCGGCACTTACTGTCTGTTGCTGTCTTCTCAATTTTGACTTTATATGCATTGTCCTTAAGGCTTGGTCTTGTGCAGTCAGAATTAGTCCCTCGGTCTCTTTCTTCAATTTTCCTGCTCTTAGCCATTGCCAGGTCTTGTTATTATCTGCTTTCCCAGCTATTTTTTTAATGTAATGGCCATGTAGTGCTTTGTCTTCCCATGCCTCCATTCTGTTCTTCATTTGGTCATTATTATTATTATTATTATTATTATTATTATTATTATTATTATTATTATTATTATTATTATTAGTTTTAATACCACTTGGAATACTGCATCCACAATGTAAAAAAGATGTTTGTACTCTAGAAAGAGTACAGAGAAGAGCAATAAAGATGGTCAGAGGACTGGAGGCTAAAACATATAAAGAACGGTTGCTGGAATTGGATATGTCTAGTTTAATGAAGAGAAGGACTAGGGGGTGACATGATAGCAGTATTCCAATGTCTTGGGGATTGCCACAAAGAAGAGGGAGTCAAGCTGTTTTCCAAAGCACCTGAGGGCAGGACAAGAAGCAATGGATAGAAACTAATCAAAGAGAGAAGCAACCTAGAGCTAAGGAGAAATTTCCTGACAGTTAGAACAATTAATCAGTGGAACAACCTGCCTCCAGAAGCGGTGAATGCTCCAACACTGGAAGTTTTTAAGAAGAGACTGGACAGCCATTTGTCTGAAATGGTATAGGGTTTCCTGCCTGAGTGGGGGATTGGATTAGAAGATCTCCAAGGTCCCTTCCAACTCTATTATTATTATTAAAGCTGCTGTGAAGCATGATAGTATCTGTTTGCTTTCTCTTCCTTTTTCTCATAGGTTTATGAGAAATTACAACATTTAGCCCTAGACTGCTGGTTCCAAAATGTTTATTATTACTTCTAAAAGTCTTGTGGTATGGGCAAGATGCTGAAATATTAATAATAATAATATTTTAATAACAGTCTAAAAATAAATAAATACAAAATGTTGCACAGATTTTCTTCTTCCTCAAGTTCAAGCAGGCAGTCTTTCCATGCAATCTTCCATAAGCCATTGACAAATATGCTATCCATGACGTATGATATCAAGTTCAGAAGTAGATTTTATTAGACCCAAATCTGAAGAGGACTTGAACAAATGTTGCCAAAAATCATATATGTGAGAGCACATTTCTGATTAAGCAGACTTGGGATCACAGTCTAAATATGTGCCATTTTTATTCTTGCTTTTCTGTAGATTGAATTTGAATGCATCAATGAAAAAAAGAGGCAGAAAAAGAAAAGCTACAAAAACTCAGGGATTGTGAGCTTTAAACACTGTGAGGTCAGTGCTTTCAAAATATTGTGTTCATGTTTACGTGGACATATCCAGGTGTAATAAGGGAAATATAATAAAAGTATTTGATTTAATGGTTGTATTGGAACATTTTGATGCAGCTTCTGCAATTTTATGAGGTTAACAATTTGCAGTATTTTATTCACATATCAGATTTTTATCCTACTTTTTTAAAAGATCTCAACGTGTTATTTCTCTTATTTTTTCCACACAACTACTCTGACATCAGTTAGACTGAAAAAGTTGTTTCACTGGTGCAGAACTTAGCCTTTGGCATTAATCTGGTCCATTGAACTGACTCTTCCTTGTTTAGCAGAGAGGAAAGATTGCAAATACAGCATTGCTTCAGCCACTGCACAGCTTTCTTTTTCTGAAAAAGAAAAAGGGTAGTTGAAGCTACTGAAAGCTGTGAAATAACTGTAAAATGCTGTTCTGTTTCAAAGGGATAAAAGATGTTCTGGAGCTCCTGTCTGCAGCCCCTTAGACTAAATATCTTTTTTTGAGGTATCATAGAGTATGGTTGTGCTGTCCCAAATAAAAATATAGCTGTTTAAAACTGTTGCCAGCAGATGTTATGTTTGCATCCTCACATGCTCTGAAGCATCCTTTGGCCTTAGAAACTGAGACTCTGCAGTACCTTAGTGGCTCCTACTGCAACAGTACTGTACAGCATTGAGCATCAAATATCTCACTGATACTTGGATTTTGTATTTAGTCAGTCCTTACATCTCTCCAATTAGGACACTGCTGTTACCATCTCACAGTCCATCCCCATCTCCAATTTAGATGTTGAAAATCCTGCCTTTATCCTGTTGGGAAAAAAACTAGGTTATTAAAAAAAAATGGATGACTTGGTTTATGTATCACAACAGGTCATCACAGAGTGTACTTTCCTTGACTACGTCATGGGGGGATGCCAGTTGAATTTTACTGTAAGTAAACTATAATTTCCCTGTCTTAAGTATTGACAATAAGTTCTATTCATTTGAGAAGGACTGGATACATGCTTCCATGCCAGAACTATTCCATTAGTACTAAAGTGCTGGCATTACGGAAGAGGATACAGGAGACATGATGTTCTACTTTCCTGCTGAAGGACAAGAGGCTTGTGTTCAATGCTATTCTGTGCTTTTAAATATTGCTTTCATTTAAACATTGCAACATTGCTTTGAGATTGAGTTTCTGTAACTTCCTAAGTCTATATATTTATCTTAATTGCCTTTAAAGACGCTCAAGAAAGTGCATCCTCTTTTGAATTAACTTTGACTGGAAATTGGGTTCACAAGGAAGCATTTTATTTTATTGGATTTGGGAATGTTTCCCTTATTGTTAATCTTCATATAGTTTGTGCAAACAAAATCATGAAAAATCTGTTAATTCCATGGGGATGGCGTGGGGTGGGGTGGGAAACCTTTCACATTTTCCCATACAGACTTAGCTTGTCCTGTTGATTGGTATTACAACAAGTGATATGGAACAAACTAATGTTTGTACCTGATCGTTGTTGTTATTACTATTATTATTATTACAGGTTGGCATTGATTTTACTGGATCTAATGGAGATCCTCGTTCTTCAGACTCCTTACATTACATCAGCCCCAATGGAGTGAATGAATACTTGTCAGCCATTTGGTCTGTAGGAATGGTCATTCAGGATTATGATACGTATGTGTTTTTATTGAATTGTTCTTAAACTGTTGAACATGATGAGTATACTTGAATTCTTCAATAAGTCAAAGCTTATTTTAAATATTTTAACTTATTGTTTACATATTTTTAAAATTTCCCATCCTTGGTTATATCTATAAGAGTTGGTTTTCGATATACAATTGCATTAAATAATATGGCTAAGCTAAAACTAAACATTCTAACTGATGTAGCTTAGTGAAAGAAAGTATAAAGGGGGGGAGGGAGGTGGGTTTTCCAACAATTGCTGGAGTAATTGAACTCTTGCATTTTTAATGTCCCTTTTGTAAAAGTTCTGTAATTTGTTCCAGGATGGTATTGTCCAATCTTTAGCAGACTTCCCTCTAAAACTTTCATTGTTTCCTTGTATTCTTGCACCAAAGTACTCATCAAGCCATCTAGATATTATTGAATCTTTTTTCTGTGAAGTATTAGCCAGCTATCCCATCTTTCTGTCTTTCTACATAGCTGGCTTTTCTATTTTTTTTTTCACCATCTTCCACATTTTTCCTGCGCTTCATTGCACTCCTCTGCCAAATTCCTGTTGTAGAAATATACTTCCTGTTTACTTGCAGAACCATATGTGCAACTCCATGCTGTATGCATGGCTCTTGGCCCTGATCAAACAAAAGGTTTAAAAAAAAAATCTCATAGTTTGGCTATTTGGAAATCAGAACCAAAACTTCAAGTCAACTTCCTTTTCTCCCAAAGAAATGAGAGATTTCAGATTTGCCTAATTGTATTTAACCTTTGAAAAGTTTGTATCTTCTATACAGTGTCACATTTTGAGGCATGTTGGGGCAGGGATATTGAAGAAATAACAATAGCACTTAGATTTATGTACCGCTTCATAGTGCTTTAGCACTCTAAGCAGTTTACAGAGTCAGCATATTGCTCCGAGCAATCTGGCTCCTCATTTTAACGACCTCGGAAGGATGGAAAGTTGAGTCAATTTTGAACCAGTCAGAATTGAACTTCTGGCAGTGGGCAGACAGCCTGCAGTACTGCATTCTAATCACTGCATCACTTGGAAATAGTTACAGTTTTATCAGAAATAAATTACCTGCAGATAAATGATGGCATCAGGATTCCATAGATTTTTCATTTCTTTGAATATAAATCACAGAACTGTTGTGAAATCTGAATGTTTTAGATCAGTGTTTCTCAAGTTCAGCAACTTTAAAATGTCTGAACTCCAACTCCCAGAATTCCCCAGTCCATTCACCTTCATGTTGCTGAAGTTGAGAAACATTGGTTAGATGACTAACTTAGCAGTATTCAGTTCAATATGTACATGTTGGTGCCACTAAGTTATTTATTCTCCACCCTGTGCTGGAATTGAGACTGCAAGCAATATGCAATAACTCAGTGGTATGAGGAAATTAGAATCCTAGCTTTGCCATCCATGCAGAATAATTTAGCAGATATTTGGGAGGAGATAAGAGTCACAGATGCAAGCTTTCTGTCCTTCCAGAGTTGGGTAAACCACTTTGTTAGCATTGAGCAATTGGAGGAAGCACTGGTAGATGTCACTTTGGAGATCATATTGAATCGTTTTGCTTTATTATAATGATCTAACTTCAGTTATTGGTTGGATTAGAAGTATAATTAATTTTCGGCTCCACTTTGACTATACTCTTTTGGATAAATGAAATGAATGGAGTGGCATTCAACTGAGAAAAACAATACACTTGTTTCCCAAGATAAGCTAACATAAAAGAGTAAATCAGAAAGGCTTTTCTCATCCTACTCTCTCCATTCACTTACACCTCCTGAGGTCTTTGGTCTGGGGCAATCCTTGTTGGAGAACGGCTTGCAGAGCGGTGGGAGAGTTGTCCTTCTATGGACTTCCTTTTCTGTGTCATTTTGCATATACCTACTTAGAATAAACACTCATCAATGCAATTAAACTTACTCTTAGATAATTTGGTAGTGGGTCATAACTATGTACTGTATGGAAGTACAGTAGTCCTCAGTTTATGACCACAATTAAGCCCAAAATTTCCATTGCTAAGCAAGGCAGTTGTGAAGTGAGCTTTGCCCTTTTTTATGACCTTTTTGCAACAGTTGTTGAACCACTGTAATTGTGAATCCTGTGACCATTAAGCAAGTGTAGCTTTCCTCATTGACTTTGCTCATCAGAAACTGGCTGGGAATAATTGCAAGATCCTGGGACAGTGCAACTATCATTAATACATGCCAGTTGCCAAGTGCCCAAATTTTGACCACATAACCATGAGGATGCTGCAGCAGTCATGTGAAAAATGGTCATAAGTCACCTTTTTCAATGCCATTGTAATTTTGAACGGTAGCTAAATGAATGGTTGTAAGTCGAGGACTATCTGTACTGTTCATGAACGTATATTCTAATGAGTGCACAACTATGGATTTACTTATCATTGTTTCTCTAAATTGCTTACACAGAGATAAGATGTTTCCAGCTTTTGGGTTTGGTGCTCAAATCTCCCCTTCATGGCAGGTAAGCAGTGTGCTTTGGGAAGATAATTTGCTCTATAAAATGTTGTTAAAGTTTGTTAATTAAATTAAAACAATAGTGACATGATGTAGATTTAGAGCAGTGTTTCTCAACTTGACAACTTTAAGATAGGTGGACCTTAATTCCCAGAATTCTGCTGACTGGAAAATTCTGGGAGTTGATATCCACCAGTCTTACAATTGCTAAAGTTGTGAAAGGTTGATTTAGAGGAAAGCTACCTGGTGAAAGATTATTGAACCCATGAAAAAAATGAGTACCTTTATATATTTTCAGGTGTCGCATGAATTCCCGTTGAACTTTAACCCATCGAACCCCTTCTGCAGTGGTAAGTTTTAATATACTACAAAAGTATGTCCTGACATTTCTAGGTGTGCTGAATGTAACAATAAAGCAAGACTTGGCTCAGTGATTGCGCATTCTAAAATTAACACTGTTAATTTTGCATAATTGTTCAGAGACAGGTGTAAAAATAAAGTTTTCTGATCAAAATTGCCTGCTTGCAGAGAGATTAGCAACAGCTTACACACTTCTGAAAATATGGAAGGACTTATTTGTTTTAAAAAAACCTCTTCACAAATATAACACTGATGAAGTGCCACAAAGGGACTTCTAAAGTGTATGAGTTTATTAAGATTTCTTTCCATAAAGGAGTTGCCATTTGTTAAAATTTTACTACAAGAATTTTCTTTAGAACAAGACCTGTGTTGCTACAAGTATTTTAATGTTGAGTAGTGATGAAATTCTCTGCGTACCTCAAGACTTAACAATATGAAAAGAATCACCTTTGCAAGAAATACTGACAGCTCTTCTCCAAAGTCATATGGCCTTCAAAAATCCTAGGGATTTAAGTTTCTTTCACTGTTTGACTAGCTAGTCTGCTTACTTTAAGGCTTGAGATAAGCAACTTCGTAGATCTTCTTCCTTAAATATAAACAGTTTACAATAGAAATGCTTATTGAGGGTTCAGCATATAGACCTTCATAAACTAGACTGGAGGGTGGCTGTGATGGATAAATTTCCTTCATTATGCTTTTATCCTCTGCAGGGGTCCAGGGTATTGTGGATGCCTATCGGGTCTGCCTTCCTCAAATAAGATTGTATGGGCCCACCAACTTCTCTCCAATTATCAATCATGTAGCTAGATTTGCTGCTGCAGCTTCACAGCAGAGAACAGCCTCAGTAAGTACCTTTTTGCTATGCTTAACTGTTGTGAAAAGATACTGGTAAGGTAAAAGAATGAGTAGTTGAAAGAATTTCTGAATTATCTAAATTAATTGGTAATTTCAAAATATAAACAAACAGTTGAAGGTTTTTTTAATACATGTAAGCAATTAGACCTGGCAAAAAGACTGCATTTCTACCTTGTTAGAATCCTTTTATTACTTTGTAGTAAGAGGGAAATGTTTCAAAAAGCAAAAGGGAGATTAATTATTTATGATGAGTCATGAAGAGTAGCATTAACTACTATTTGTGTAGAACATATATATCTATACCTAGCAATTTCTTTCCCCTGAGATGCCCTTAAAGCACTTTAGTTTTCCTGGAACAAATTTTTATCTGTTACACGTTGGGGGCGAATGCTGTATCTGTTGATTTAAATAGTTACGCTATTTGGAAGTCATAATTGAGATATCAGCCTGATTCTAATTATCCAGGCATTTATGGCTTCCTACTAATAATTCTGTCATTACTTATTTAGAAAACAGTAATATAAATTCAGTACATGAATCATGACTTTTTATAAGATTTCTGAAGCAGGTATATATAACTTTACTAATAATTTATTGCAACAATGTATGACTGAAAAAAAAAGTAGAAAGCCTATTACCATTTGTCCAGCTAAGAAACTATGTATATAACCAGATTGCCTTTCCTTCTGGTAGAACATAGCAGTTGACTCCCTGCATGTTTTGGGAACTCTCTTCACCTCATATTTGCCATTTTTCTGTGTTGTGAGTTGGCCTTTGTGGATCCTATATTTTTCAGATGGGGTGATATCCTTAAAATGCTCTAAACCTCAACATGGTATTTACAAGAAGCTCCTGTATCTGGAGTATTACATGAGAGGATGGATAGGAGGAAATGAATGTCTAAAGAAGCAAAATGGTTGTATATAAAAATATGTTTCTGGCAACTAAAATGAAATTAATTAAATAGAAGTGAGTATTGGTGTTTGTCGTAAGAAAGAAACATAAAAGTAAATTGAATACAATTTAGTTGGGTAAAAAGATTGATTTAGGATTTGATGGAGAAAATTTAATGGAATACTTCACTGTTAAAGTACAGGTAGTCCTCAACTTATGATCCAAAACTGAGCCCAGAATTTCTGTTGATAAGCAAAACATTGTTAAGTGAGTTTTGCCCCATTTTACGACCTTGCTTGTCACAGTTAAATGAATCACTGTAGCTGTTCAGTTAGTAACATGGTTGTCAGAAAGTTACAAAAGGTGGTTACATGACCCTGGGATTGTGCAGTTGTCATAAATATGAACCAGTTGGTAAGTATCTGTGACTGGGGAATGCTGCAACAGTCACAAGTGTGAAAAATGGTTACAAGTCACTTTTTTCGCCGTTGTATCTTAGAATGGTCACTAAATGAACGTAAGTTGAGGATGACCTGTAACTTAACTATCATTGTTAAGTACAATGAGAGAGTAAAGAATCTGTTTTGGTAATTTATCTGGAGATAATAGTAGTGCCTTTCTATAAGGATTGTTCTTTGGATGATGACCTTAGACACACATCAAATTGCATTAACCTTTTTAGTGTGTTGTTTTGGAACTTTTCCTTTCTGTCATTCTTATAAATTGCTATCCCAGTCTATTATCTTTGGGAATATATTTTCCTTGTTAATTTTAACAAAGTGCTTTTGTTCAACAGCAATATTTTATACTCCTGATAATCACGGATGGGGTGATAACAGACCTTGATGAAACCAGATCTGCTATTGTCAGTGCCTCTAAGCTTCCAATGTCCATCATTATTGTTGGTGTTGGAGGTGCTGATTTCAGTGCCATGGAATTTCTGGACAGTGACAGTGGAGCTTTGAGATCACGTTCAGGAGAAGCTGCTATTCGAGACATTGTCCAATTTGTGCCATTTAGACAGTTCCACAATGTAAGTATTGTTTCTTAAAGATGTGCATGGCTTCAGGTTCAGTCCTAGAAAGGTGTGTTTAGAACATGCGACAAGATGAAAGTAATAGGAGCTTTCCATAGCTCCTTTTAAAGCAATTGCATCTTTTCCCATCTGTCCGCGTATCCAAAGTCGTTCGTGACGTAAAGCAAAGAAGACCGGCACACGCTGACACCCACCAAGCTCTTTATTAAGCATGTGAGACAAAGTCAGCCCTGGGGCCTGATTCCCCTCCACCGCAATATATCGGCGTGCTCCACCCTGTAGCTCCGCCCCCCATCCCAAACCAGCATCCGTTTGAAATGGATATATGCTATGTCCGTTCCCTGCGCTGTCCCTTTTCCCGACGAAGTTCCGCCCCCACGCCCCGCTGTCCGTGCGCCCGGTCTGCGCCCCTGTTGCCCGCCGCTAAGCTCGCCCTGCTGGATTCCCTGGCGGCTGGGAGACAACCCCCCCCTCTCCCGCCGGGATGCATCCCCATTAGCACAAGGTGTTTCGCCCGTTGTTGGCCTTCCAGCGCCTCGCAAATGGCTCGTTGGAGCTCCCTCCGTTCTATCAGGTGCCGTTGACGTCTGTCGTGCTGTCCGTGGAGACGTTCGCGAGGGAGTTCGCCCGGGGCGGCGGTGGGGTGTGGCAGTGCACAGCTCAACTGTTTCTCGCCCCCGTGAGTTGACGTTCGTGCTCCCCCTGTCCCTGGTTGTATGGCAAGCCGTCGGGGCTTGACATGCGGCCCCCTCTACCACTCGTCCCCCTGGGGAGGAAAAGAAAGGGGTTGAGTACACAACATTACACTTGTTCCGCCCCGGCTTATCTGGGTGCCTCCGGTGGAATGTCCGAATCAGGTTGGGTGCCCTTATATCCTCCTCTCCCACCCAGGTCGCGTCTGATAGCGGGTAGCCCTTCCACCGAAGGAGGTATTGGGTTTTGCCATATCGCTTCCGTGAGTCTAGGACCTCCTGCACCTCGTAATGGGACCCGGATATCGGTCCTGGTCCCCGTCAGCATAGGGACTTCTATGTGTTGGTTTGAGTAGACTACTATGGAACACGGGGTGAACCTTGCCTAGAGAGGCGGGAAGCCGTAGCCGAACTGTAACTGGGTTAATCACTTTGAGGATCTGGAAAGGCCCTACATACTTCGGGCCTAGCTTCTTACATGGCACTTGCAGACGCAGATATTTGGTGGCTAAATACACCCAGTCTCCCACTTTGAACGGTTTATGCTCGGCCCGTTTTTTGTCGGCTTGGACCTTGGCAGCCGCTTCGGCCTTCCTTCGGGCTATCTTCACCCGGTCCCACAACTCTGGAAGTTTGGACGTCCATGTTTGAGGGGTCTGGCCGCTGGCCACCTCTGGTGACAATTCGGGCATGGGGTTAAACTCCATACCATACACTATTTTAAACGGGGTATACCCCGTACTGCTGTGGACGGTATTATTATATGCCACTTCAGCAAACGGCAATAAATCCACCCAATCCGTTTGCTGGAATGACACATAACTTCGGAGGTACCTTTCCACCATGGCGTTTGCCCTTTCCGCCGCCCCGTTAGTGCTCGGGTGATATGCTGAACTCAGCGCCTGTGAGGACCCTAGCGAACGAACGAACACCCTCCAGAATTCTGCGGTAAATTGCACCCCTCTATCTGACACTATTCTTCTAGGTACACCGTGAAGCCGATAGATGTGTTGAATAAACAACCGGGACAATCGTCGTGCTGATGGCAGGCCTTTGCAGGGGATGAAATGTGCCTGCTTGGAAAAGAGATCTACCACGGTCCATATCACACTGTAGCCCCGATTGCTGGGTAGTTCTACGATAAAATCCATGGCGATCTCTTCCCACGGCCGGGACGGATCGGCCACCGGTTGTAATAACCCCATAGGCTTCCCTACCCGGGGTTTTGCACTAGCGCACACGTGGCACCCTTTTACATATTGTTCCACATCTGCTTTTTGTTTGGGCCACCAGAATTGCCGCCGCACTAAGTGCAGGGTCTTTAAAAACCCAAAGTGGCCCGCTTGTTTAGCGTCGTGACACCTTCGAAGAACGGAGGGGCGTAGGCTCTCGGGCACATACATCCTATCCCCTTTCCACGCCACACCGTCCCGAGTAGTCAACCATTCAGAATGCTCATTTGCCCACGCATCAGACAGTAAGGCAGCCTTAATGTCCTCTACCCCGCTTACCAGAGACCTGTGAGTTACGGCCTCAACGGTCTCACGCCGATAAGGCGGCACCAGGGCCTGTATTACCTCCTCCCGTTTGCTACGGTACTGCGGCATCCGCGACAATGCGTCGGCCAAAAAGTTCTTTCCCCCCGGCACATACCTCAGTGTGAAGTTAAACCGGTTGAAGTATTGTGCCCATCGAACATGTTTGGGGGCCAGGCGTCTCGGGGTCTGTAGCGCCTCCAGATTCTTATGGTCTGTCCACACCTCAAAGGCCAGTTTGGCCCCTTCTAACAAATGCCGCCACGTTGCCAGGGCCCAGCGTATCGCGAAGGCCTCCTTTTCCCAGACAGTCCAGCTACGTTCGGCCGTCGTAAATTTACGCGACGTATAGGCACATGGCTGCAATTCTCCCCCACTACCCTTCTGCAACAACACGGCCCCCACTGCGACATCGCTGGCGTCCACCTGGACCACAAAAGGGGCACTCTGGTCCGGGTGGCGTAACACGGGCTCCTTAGCAAATAATGTTTTCAGTGACTCAAACGCTTTCTGACAATTCACAGACCACTCTAGCCGTTGGCTCGGGCGGGGCCTTGCTGCGAGGTGTTTCGTCCGCAGTAATTCCGTGAGAGGATGCACCACGGTTGCGAACGATGGAATGAACGGACGGTAGAAGTTTGCAAATCCGAGAAAACTTTGCAGCTGGCGTCTAGTTTGGGGTGCTTGCCATTCCTGTACGGCTCGCACCTTGCTCGGATCCATTTCCACCCCGCTCCCCGAGATGCGGTAGCCCAGGTAATCTAGTCGTTCCCGGTGAAATTCGCACTTCGATAATTTCACATAAAGTTGGGCCTCCAACAACTTCTGTAGTACTTGCCGTACCAGGCTGATATGCTCCTCCCGTGTTTCGGTATATATTAGAATGTCATCTAGGTACACGAGTACCCCGCGGTATAGGTGTTCATGCAACACCTGATTGATCAACTGCATGAATACCGCGGGGGCTCCTCGTAACCCGAACGGCATGACGCGAAACTGGAAACTGCCTAACGGACAGTTAAACGCCGTTTTCCATTCGTCGCCAGCCTTAATTCGTACTCTATAGTACGCCTCCCGTAAATCTAATTTAGTGAATATGCGGCCCGTCCCCAAATGTGCCAATAGATCTTTCATTGTAACGATCCATCCTTCTTTTCTTTAAAGAGGACGGGGGCCGCTATCCGGGACCTAGCAGGCTGAATAAAGCCTCGCGCTAGGTTCTGGTCGATGTATCTACGGAGTTCCTGCACCTCCGGTGGTGTCATCGCGTACATCCGGGGTTTCGGGAGCTTAACCCCCGGCAATAGCTCTATAGCGCAATCCGTCGGCCGGTGAGGGGGCAGGTGATTACACTCCTCCTCACTGAAGACCGCCGCTAAATCCCTGTATTCCTCGGGATATGTTACCTCCCCCACCGTTTCCTGGAGTTGCGCCGCTACCCCCGGAAGCTTGGGGACCTGGCCCTCGCCACCACCATTCCCTGGCGTTGGACCTACCCCAAGACGCACTTTCCGGTACCCCCCTTCCCACCATATAGTTGGGGTCCATTTGTCCAACCAGGACAACCCCAAGATGACCGTCTTCGCCGTAATGGGAACCACACTGAATCGTAATACCTCCCAATGGTCTCCTAGGTCCATGCGTACCCGTTCCGTTACATGGGTCGCGGGGACCCCCCCCAACAATGACCCGTCCACTTGTTCGAACCGTATGGGTTGTGGTAATGGATATATCCGGAACCCACTGTCCACCGCTACCCTCCTACTCATCAGACAACGTGTACATCCGGTATCGATCAAGGCCTGACACGCCTTCCGTACACCCGTCACCGGACTCGTAAGGACTATAGGGAGGAGGAATGGGTTGATGGGATCACTCACCATTGGATCGGCCCTTCCCTCGTCAGGGCTGTCCTCCTCGTCCCCCGTCTGGTAGCGTACCCCGGCTACGGGCACTGGCGTGACCGGGGCTCCTGGCTTCGCCCCTGGAACCGGCTGCTGGACAACCGCCCTTAAACTCTCTGTGGCTTTCTTCAGTGGTGTGGCTCTACCGCCTGCTGCGGTCTTACGGGGGCTGGGTGCTGGACAGTCGGCTGCGCGGTGACCCGGCTGGTCGCAACGGAAGCACCGGAAACCCGCTGCTCCTGACGGTCCCGGTGGCTTTGGTGTTGGCCGCTGTTGGTCCTGGCCGCCCTCGCGAGGTCTATCCCCGGGACGCCGCAGCCGCGAAACATCCCCGTACCCTCGATACACTTCTTTCAGGCCTGCTTCAATCTCGATCACTACCCTGAACCAGTCTCTCAGTCTGTTGGGCACACCCCGATATACGCAGGCTTGCCGTAAGTCGTGGTCTAGGCCTGCTCTGAATTGATGTACCAACATCCGCTCCGGCCAAGAGGACTGCAACCGCCCGGCTAACTTCCGAAACTCCCGCACGGACTCGACGGCCGGACGTTTCCCTTGTTGGAGCGCCAGCAGGTCCGCCTCGGCCCTCTGTGCCCGAGTGGGGTCATCGAACCGCCCATGCAGAGCGTCCAGGAACAGCCCCGCACTCCCCAACTCCCGGGCATGGTCACTGTACAGGTCGGCCGCCCATGCGGCCGCCTCTCCGCGCAAGGCGGCAGTAATGGCGCCGACCATAGCCCATTGGGAGACATATAGCTGTGCGGACTGGTCCAGGTGGCTTGTGGCCTGTCCCAGGAACATCGCCAATTGGTCAGGGTTACCGTCGAAGGTAACCGGAATGGGGGAACCCCCCATAGATATCCTGGCCCCCACGGGCCCTGGGGTTGGCCTGGTACCACGTTTGGATGTCCGGCCGCGAAGTCCTGCCGTTCCCTCCCCCCTGTTGCGGTCAGGCCTCCTGCCACGTTCCTGGGCCCACCCGGCTGGGCTGGGTGTGGCTGACCCGCCGGCCCGCCCGAGGGGAGTCCCATAACGCCCAGGCCACCTGTGGGATTGGGCAACCGCAGCCGCGGACTACTCAGGCGGAATCTAGACGAGGGGGTGCGACCCGTAGCCTCCCCTTCCGACTGCCACGTATCGGCGGCGCCTTTGTAACTCGCTTCACCAAACCGGTGACGCAGGATATCCATGGTTTCCTGGCCCGGAGCCGTGGAGTAGCTCCAGTCTTCATCTTCCTCCACCGTGGCGCGTCTCTCCCGCCACCCCGAATGCCCGAGCTTCGGCTTTGGCGTTAGGAGCTGCTCGGGCTGTAGACCAGTCACCGCCGGGCTTTGCCACCACTCCTCCTGGGGCTTAGCGGCTCCTGCCTCTCCCACAGCGAGCTCCGATATTACAGACTGTAACAGTTTTGGCCGTACTACCGGCTGGGCCACCGCCGGCTCCGCCACCGGGACAGCATCCACAACCCCGCCGGCCGCCACCTCTCCCTCGACCAAGGCAGCCCCCTGAGTCCCCTCCGCCATACCGTAGCCGTACACGGGAACCGTAGACTGGAGGGTTGGGGTGAGGGCTGACTTTATGTCCGCGTATCCAAAGTCGTTCGTGACGTAAAGCAAAGAAGACCGGCACACGCTGACACCCACCAAGCTCTTTATTAAGCATGTGAGACAAAGTCAGCCCTGGGGCCTGATTCCCCTCCACCGCAATATATCGGCGTGCTCCACCCTGTAGCTCCGCCCCCCATCCCAAACCAGCATCCGTTTGAAATGGATATATGCTATGTCCGTTCCCTGCGCTGTCCCTTTTCCCGACGAAGTTCCGCCCCCACGCCCCGCTGTCCGTGCGCCCGGTCTGCGCCCCTGTTGCCCGCCGCTAAGCTCGCCCTGCTGGATTCCCTGGCGGCTGGGAGACAACCCCCGCCTCTCCCGCCGGGATGCATCCCCATTAGCACAAGGTGTTTCGCCCGTTGTTGGCCTTCCAGCGCCTCGCAAATGGCTCGTTGGAGCTCCCTCCGTTCTATCAGGTGCCGTTGACGTCTGTCGTGCTGTCCGTGGAGACGTTCGCGAGGGAGTTCGCCCGGGGCGGCGGTGGGGTGTGGCAGTGCACAGCTCAACTGTTTCTCGCCCCCGTGAGTTGACGTTCGTGCTCCCCCTGTCCCTGGTTGTATGGCAAGCCGTCGGGGCTTGACACCATCTAGGAAAATTATGGCTGTTTAAAAGTTGTAGATTGGTGCTCTGTTGCCGCTCTTATACACTCCAAGCATTCTCAAGATATTTGAGAGGTTCCCTTCGTAGATACATTAAATTTTGGTTAGGATATAGTAAACATACAGAAAATTCTTACTGAATTCTGCTTGAAACATACAGCCAATTCTGAATGAAATCTGTGACTCTTTATTACAATTTTCATCCCAAATGGAAACTTTTAGTAGTAGGTTTATATGAGCATCCTGTTAAAGAAATATTCCTGTGGGGGAGAGAAAAGCAAGTACTTGTCTAAAATATTTATAGATATTATGTATCATCTCTCTGACCTATATCACTTCATTGAAGTAAACTTGTTTCATTGCATAGATCTATTAGAGACAGTACTATATTACTAAAAACATTTATTGTGCTAGTTTGTTGTATTATTTGTAGTGCAGTGAATATAGTTATTATTGCAACAAATCTTTCTCCCTTAGAAAAAGACCCAGTTAATCCTTACTTTCCATTGTTTCTGAAAACTAAATGCTACAATAGAAAGTATTTGTTTTATATGCTAATTTTTTTCCACTGTGGGTTATGCTTTAGTTTGCTACTTAATAGGTGCTTGTATATTCCAGTATGAAACTGGATGCATTTACTTTGAAAAATGGAACTTGATTATAATACCTGCTGCTTGATTTCAAATACTTTAAAAAGTATTCAAATTGAAATGATTACTTTGGTAATTACATATTAGTTTAATGACCATATCAAATAAGATAAGATAAAATCATGCAGCAAATATTCCATAAAATCAAATAAGATCATCCTCTTGGTAGTTGACTCCAGTGTGATCTAGATAAGGAGCTCTCAGCTGAATGGCTGTAGCTATAAACTTGGTGTTTTTTCTTTCATGTGTTTGTACCTTGGAGGAAGTAAGATAGTTTATTGATGGGGTCAGGCTGTCAAGTATATAGTTGGCAGTCAAAGATGGATGCCCTCCATTTGCAGCTACAGGAAAAGTTTGGCTTTATAAATCTTTTAGAAATTCCACTAATTAAACAACTTACATTGCTCAATATTTGGTTATGACTTGCAACAATGCACTGTGGTAATTTTTATAGATGTTACATAATGTTTTCATTTAATTTTCATATCCAAAGTGATCTGCTACTAGCTATTTTTGGCTTTATGAAGCCAGTATAAAAGAAAGAACTCCACTCTGACAGCTCATAAAGACAATCTTAATGGACAAATCACTTTGTGATAACTATCTTTCCTTTGAAAAAGCACTCCTGAGACCTTCTTAGATGAGCAGGAATTGAATCAATTGATTTTACTTCTGTCTCTGTCCTTTGAATTAGGCTCCCAAGGAAGCTCTTGCTCAAAGTGTCCTGGCAGAGGTGCCACAGCAAGTTGTGAGCTATTTCAGCATGTGCAAGTTGCAACCACCAAACAAGCCTACAGCCAAGCAAGAACAGCAGAAGCAAGCATGAATCACTCTGTGGGAAGTTTCGGTGCTTCCTGTCTGTGGTGTCCCTTGATTGTGATGCATAATAAAAGCCTTTTCATACATTTTACAGAAAAGGTGCCATGCTATGATAGCCTTTCCCTTTCTTGTTGTGAGTTGCCAAAGATGCTCTATGTTTAACCCCATTGCAAGTGAGATTGGAAAAGCATATATATATATTTACTCTTTTGTCAGACTTCAGAACGATTAAGACCAGAGTGTTGAGTTAAGGTTATCTAAATATCTTTCTTCATCCCTTCTCTGTGGTGTCTGCCCTTCTATTTCTGAACATTTGCAATTTGATGAAACAGTAAACATTTGAACATGATTATTATCTGGAGACTGCAACGGAATTATATTACAATTTACAGCTTACATTGTACTATTAAATCAAGGTGGCATCTGACTGTGATACATAGTTGCCAACAGTTTGTGTCTTTCTGTTCCACATAAAGGATATAAATAGGATTGGGATTGATTTTGTTGCTTATTTTATCACAAACCAATTTGACTTTTGAGAAATATAATTGTGTAAAATAAGAACATGGACATAGAAGCTATATATGTGTGTGTGCCTGGGGAAGCTTACCTGTTTTATAGCTGTATATTCAGAGATTTCTATGTGCTGGAGAATCTGTATTTTAATATTTCATAAATGGTTTCCCTATGGCTAGAGCTAGTTCCAGGATACCTTATCACTTTCATTCAGTAGTATAAACTGAGGTTTTTCCCACAGCTGATTTAGAGAAGCTAGAGAGTGTAAATTTTCATTTTAGCACAATGCCCATGGATTAGATTATCTTGTTCTGTATATTTTTTCAGGTCCTCTGCTCTTTGGGAGATTTTTGCATTTATTTAGTGACAGCTAGTGAGTTTGTGATTGTGTTTCATCTGCTTCCAGCATTTTTTTTCTTCATCCCAACTACATGCTGTTTAGTAATCTAAAAGTTTTTGACATATTTTCTTGCTGTTTGTTCAGTAAGAAAGTAGTGTACATAACTTCTGTTCTTCTGTGTGTATATGCTAAGTGAAATGAAATTGGACTGAACTCTCTGAAAAGGATTGTTAATTGAACAGCATAAATTATGTAGGCCCATATCAAAAGGGGAAAATGAAAAATCAGTGTTAATAGCATAGAATCTGATAGGTATGTACTTTTCTAGGAAAGTGAAAGCTACCAGCCTTCTGTCCTGCAGCTTTGCATTACAATCATATTAAAATGGAAACTATCTGCAGCTTATATGTCCAACTAATGCCATATTTAGAACTATCCATGTATTTAGAATATCATCTATTCATCTAATTAAAGATATTTTATTAGGAATATTCTATGATGCGCAAATCTTAAGCGGATCTCTTTTAGCATCCTATTGGAAAACTTTTTTTCTTCATTTCGTGCATATGTATAGGTGACTATTTATTTAGATCAGGGATTTGTTGCTAGTCGTTCAGTAAAAAAAAAAACTAGATGCCTGGAATGTGTAAATGTATTGTGTAATGGTATACTTTGTGAATATTACTATATTGCAACCAGTTTGCATCAAAGGTTTATTGTGTTGGAGTCCAAGTATTTCAGGATCAAAAAATACAAAAGCTATATTTTGTAAACTCTTGAGATATTTGCTATGAGCTCTTGTAAGAAAGACTGAAATTTTATTTTTGCACTTTGTTATTACCTTATACTGTATTTTCTTACAACAAAAGGGATATTGCAATATCTCAAACAGGGGCCACTTCCTGCATACTTTTCACTCCCTTCAACATATGATCTTAAGTCCATATGCCAAGCTATGCAACTTTTTTAATAGATTATTTTTTTAATTGAAAAAAAGTTTGCCTTCTAGACCATGATATTTTGTGAGTAGACTTGCCCACTCTGGCAGCCTTTGTTCATAAAATTCAACAGGTTCTCAGTATTCCAAAAATTACTGCGTTGAACTTTTCCTATCTTGAAAAAGGATAGCATAGCCTACAGCTGTGCAACTGAATCCAGAGGAGCTAGGCAACTTCTACATCTAATGCATTGCATTTCTTAAAAAACAAATATGATTAGATCTACAACCATAAAATATAAATAAAATATTTGCTTAGTAATACTTTTTAGTGCTTTACTTAAAAGTAATACCTTTTCTAATCTATGTTTTCAGCATAATTTTTCTAGTCAGTTGCTAGCACCACCTTGTGATGGAATTTGATATTGGCTTATTTGTACCAATTCTTTTTTTTTTTTTTAATTTTTCCTGTTTGATATTTCTGTCATAAATCTGTATTTTGCTTTGAAAGTACAGTATCATATATGGCTTGCACTGTATTTTCACTTGTTGCTTATGCATCGGAGACAGATTTCCTTGTGTGTCCAATCACACTTGGCCAATAAAGAATTCTATTCTATTCTATTCTATTCTATTCTATTCTATTCTATTCTATTCTATTCTATTCTATTCTATTCTATTCTATTCTATTCTATTCTTTATCGTATTTTCTAAATAATGCTGTTTTGTATGTGATATTGAATCTGACTTTGAATGTGACATGGCATATTTTAGTGGCATATAAACCAAATTTGTTATATCCCAATAGTTCTCTTGTGTTTTAACTTTTTCCTCAAGGAATATGTGTTTACTGACCTAGTGGTAATATTATAGCAGACAAGAAGAAACACTTTTGCCCATATGTTTTTCAAAACCTATTCATTTTTCTGCATTATAAAAAATATGAATTTGGATTGTCTGTGACATTATTGTCATGGTCATATAAAATAATAATATACATTTGGTAAGGAAAATTTCTTTAGTTTTCATTGGATTTTATAACTTTTCCAACAAAAAGTTTTATTTATTTATATCCTGCCCCACAACTACCACTCTGTGAGGTGAGTTGGGCTGAGAAAGAATGACTAGCCCAAGGTCATCCAGCTGCCTTTCAGGCCTAGAAATCACGGTCTCCAGCTTTTAGTCTCGGTGTCTTAACCACTGGATCAAACTGACTCTTCTACAGTTATTTCTTGCACCAAGGTGATTCCTGACTCCCTCTTAATAGGAACAGCAAAAGTTGATGAGGCATTCCTATTCACACCATGGTGTAATTATTACCAATAATATATCCACAATATAATATACCTGCCCATCTTAACTCAAGTTACCAGACTGAGAATATATCATTCAAAAAATAACAATAACAGAGTTGGATCCAACTCCCTGCTCTAGCAGGAAACCCTATACCATTTCAGATGAATGGTTGTTCAATCTCTTCACAATTGTTGGGTTCATATAGCAAGCCAAAGTCTAAACAATTCACATCACAACACTTTCTGAGTTGAGTAACACTTGTCTTTGTTTTAGTTTCTTTATTCTGCAAAGAAGATATTTGGTAGGGGCTATTTCTCAACCAAGATTCAAATAGATATTTTATTGGGAGTAAGAGTAACCATGTAAAATTGCATTATTTATCTCTTGGCTCAATTCCATCATTGTTTATTCTACTAATGGCCCTGGAGCAATTACCTTTGAGTTTAAGACCTGCTGCAGACCTTTTAATCCTTTGAGGCACTATATAAAGAATGCAAAGTCTCAAGGCTACGGATGTCTCCTGAAATCCTCTCCCTAATCTGTTAACATCAGAACAGAAAAGGCTCATAAAACATCAGAATGGGTTTAGAAAAGCTCAGTACAGCAGGAATTGACCTTTCTGCCAGCAATGCTTTATTAACTAAAAAGGAGTATTTCCCTGGAAGCTTATTGTTATGAATGAAACAGTGGAACATGATGGATGGCCATAACAAAGGAAGTCCAGTGAAGAAATCTATTATTATTTCTCATTCATAACTCATTCTTCTTCAAGGATTATGCAGACATCCCAAAGCATTTTTTCTAGCAAATAGGAAAAATTTCAAGGAAATGAAGAGCGTCTTCTTCTGTTGTCACATATATTGCATTGTTCAGTGACTGCGCCCAGTCAAACATGATAGCAGTATTCCAATATCTCAGGTGCTGCCACAAAGAAGAGGGAGTGAAACTATTCTCCAAAGCACCTGAAGGCAGGAAAGAAGCAATGGATGGAAACTAACCAAAGAGAGAAGCAATCTAGAACTAAGAAATTTCCTGACAGAACAATTAATCAGTGGAACAACCTGCCTCCAGAAGTTGTGAATGCTCTAACATTGGAAGTTTTTAAGAAGAGACTGGACAGCCATTTGTCTGAAATGGTATAGGGCAGTGATGGCGAACCTTTTAGAGCCCGAGTGCCCAAACTGCAACCGAAAACCCACTTATTTATTGCCGGGTACCGGGTGGGCGTGACCCACTGGGTAGTCATGGCTGTGGTCATGGCAGATTGGGTGGGTGTGGCCAAGGTGGGCATGGTCACCTCGATATTGCTCATGGGGAGGGATGCCTTTGGGGGCCGGGCAGGGTTAGGGGAGATCCCACTCTGGCAGATGGGGCAGTGGGCAGGAGGCTTGTCCTGTGGGGTGAGCTGAGGCAGGGCGGGGGTGCCATTGCCGTGGGGCAAGGCAAGGCAGGGGCCGGGGCGGCTGCTACCTGACACCATTGGCCCCCAGACAGGCCAGCGAGTACATGGGGGCCGACAGTGTCCGTCAGCAGCCACAGCCTGCCAGCCACTCAATTGGTGCATTCTGGGGCTCCGCAGCCCACCGCCAGCAGTTTAGAGAAGCCGCCTGAGCTGGACAGATAGCCAACAGCTGAGGAGGTGATCCAGTGAGTCATGCCCAGGAAAAGGAGAGCATGTGAAGCCAGGAGGGATGGGATGGGGGGAGGGAAACCAGCCGTGCTGGGATGCATCCGGCCAGATGGGAGCTCGGTGAGTTAGTGGGTGGCTGGTTGAAGAGGGACGATTGCCATTTCCAGGGCATGGTCCGCATGCCCACAGAGAGGGCTCTGAGTGCCGCCTCTGGCATGCGTGGTTCGCCACCACTGGTATAGGGTTTCCTGCCTGAGCAGGGGATTGGACTAGAAGGCCTCCAAGGTCCCTTCCAACTCTATTATTATTATTGTTGTTGTTGTTGATATTTAGTTCCCAGTGGGGGAAAAAAATCTGAGGTATATTTTTAATCTATCAAGATTGCAGAGGCACAGCTTTAGAAGTCCTGGTATTTTTGTTCTCTTGATAGTCCAATAAAAACTGTAGAATTGTTCTCATGTTTATATTTTCAATAAAAAACCTTAATTTTGTTAATTTTGTGGACTAACCTCTCCTGTTGGTTTTTAATTTCATGTTGTGAGGTATGAAACAACCTTCAGAGGAATTATTTGGAAACCAATGTCAATTGTGTTATAGAACCTTTAACAGGCTTATGTTTAAAATGACAGTCACATTACTCTGCCACACCTATTGTTTCATTACCATTCTCATTCTGTAAAGGCTCCAGAATGACTTATGCATGGTTAGTAGTATCAGTAAAACAGAATGGATTTCAGTGTTTCAGTTCCATAATCATATACAATCTCTTTTGTTTCCGGTATAGCCTATGCAGGTAATCCTTGATTTACAACAGTTCATTTAGTGACCATTCATAGTTACAAAGGCACTGAAAAAAGTGACTTATGAGCATTTTTCACACTTATGACCATTGCAGCATCCCCATGGTCATGTGATCAAAATTCAGATGCTTGGCAACTGACTCATATTTGTGACAGTTGCAGTATCCCAGAGTCACATGATCATCTTTTGTAAACTTGAGACAAGCAAAGCCAGATTTAATTAACAACCGTGTTATCAACTTAACAACTGCAGTGATTCACTTAACAACTGTGGTAAACAAGATCATAAAATGGGGCAAAATTCGCTCAATTAGCAACAGAAATTTTGGGTTCAATTGTGGTTGTAAGTTGAGGACTACATGTACTATTTTAAGATTGCTTATTCTTGTTCCAGTTGATAGAGGAAGGGAGAAGATAACTGAATATACTGAACATTATATTTTATTTGTACTAAGTTAACTTCTTAAACCATAAATTGTCCATTTGTACCCAGGAGGAGAAAAAATTGCGTGCATATATATGTATGTATGTATATATGTATGTATGTATGTATGTGTATATATATATATATATGTAGGTCTTTGGTTGTTCGGGTTTTTTCCCACGTAAAATTGGAAGTGTCTTGGCGACGTTTCGACGAAGTCCCATTCGTCATCTTCAGGCTGGTGCTTTCAGCTTCGTGCCTCGAGCAGCAATGTGTGGTCTTAGCTGTTTCTTCCTTTTAACTGCCAGTGGGGGTATGAACTGATTGGGTGGGAGCTTGGCTGTGTTCTGATTGGGTGGAGGTGTGTTCTGATTGGTTAGGGGCTTGGCTGTGCTCTGATTGGCTGGGGGGTTGGCTGTGCTCTGATTGGCTGGGGGGTTGGCTGTGCTCTGATTGGCTGGGGGAGTGTTCTGTTTGGTTGTGCTCAGGTTAGTCTGAGTTGCAGAGGGATTCAAGATTTTGGGCTGCCCTGCCATTCCTTGGCTTCGCGTTCGTGGTCGTGCTTCCTCTTCATGGAGGGTGTCAGTTTGCTTCATGTATGGATTGGGGGGGGTTTAAAGTGGCTAATGATGCAGCTGTGGTCTGGCTTCTGGTTTGTGGTCGTGCCTCGTAGTCAGTGTGGCTTTGGGTTTGTTTTTTGCGTGGATGTTTGGTGGTGACCTCCTGTGTGGTTTTTGTGAGTGTGGGTCTGGTATCATTTTTTGTGTTAGGGAGTCGTTTGTCAATGAGGGCGGGTTTCCAAATGGCTGGTAGGCGGGAGGTATCATCTCGCTTGTTCATGCTGTGTGGGCGTTTTTCTATCTCGATGGCTTCTCTGATTATTCTGTTATTAAAATGTTCACTTTTGGCAATGGTTCTGGTATTTTTAAAGTCAATTTCATGTCCTGTAGCTTTAAGGTGTTGGACCAGGGAAGATGTTGGTTCCTCTTTTTTGATTGAGTTCTTATGTTCTTCAATGCGTGCACTTATTCTTCTGTTGGTTTGTCCGATGTATGTGGTGGGACAAGTGGTGCATGGGATTTCGTATACTCCTTGATTTTCTAATTCAATTTTATCTTTGGGGTTTCTAAGGATGGTGGATATTTTTCTGTTTGTGCAGAATGCTGTTTTGATGTTGTGTTTATGGAGGATCTTACTGATTCTGTCTGTGATGCCAGTAAGATCCTCCATAAACACAACATCAAAACAGCATTCTGCACAAACAGAAAAATATCCACCATCCTTAGAAACCCCAAAGATAAAATTGAATTAGAAAATCAAGGAGTATACGAAATCCCATGCACCACTTGTCCCACCACATACATCGGACAAACCAACAGAAGAATAAGTGCACGCATTGAAGAACATAAGAACTCAGTCAAAAAAGAGGAACCAACATCTTCCCTGGTCCAACACCTTAAAGCCACAGGACATGAAATTGACTTTAAAAATACCAGAACCATTGCCAAAAGTGAACATTTTAATAACAGAATAATCAGAGAAGCCATCGAGATAGAAAAACGCCCACACAGCATGAACAAGCGAGATGATACCTCCCGCCTACCAGCCATTTGGAAACCCGCCCTTATTGACAAACGACTCCCTAACACAAAAAA